ATCGGAAATCTTTAGACACTTTGGTACATGACAGGATTGGAACCCAGGACCTGCAGATTGCAAGTCAAGTAAACCCCTAAGCCACCGGCGCTCTTAAATAAGTATTTAAACTAAATATTACTTCCATCTTTTTAATATTAACAATATTGAATCTACAATGCGGTGACGGTAACATGATATCTAAGATATGTTATGTCATTTAGTAGACATACTGTGCTTATCAAACGCGGTATAGGTTCGTTCTTCGCAGTACTAATTACCAATGTTATGAATGCGAATGTTTAGACGGTTGTTTGTTGGAAGGTATCTCCAGGACGACGGCATAAATCTGACTAAAATTTAGCGTAAATGTAGACCAGAGCCTGGAAGAACATAGGCTACTAATTAAGTTTTCTTTTTAATTCCGAGCGGACGGAGTCACGCGATAGCTAGTTACTAAATAACTAGGAGGTAAAAATTTACATGAAAGCAAACTTTTATTAACATTAGCTGTCGCCCGCGACTCCGTCAGCGCGGAATTAAAAAAACTAAATCAGTAGCCTATGTGTTCTTCCATACTATGTTCTATATCTATGCCAAATTACGGATCCATGCAACCGTACTGGAGTTACCTTCAACCAAACATCCATCCATCCATTCATCAACCTTTCGCACTTATAATACTAGTATTATTTTTGAGTAATAAAGTTTTAAATATCATATCATAGTTTAATCTTACATAAACTAAACTTGAGCAACTATGAAATGAGACACAATGGATTATTCTCATTGTAAAGTATTCGAAAAATGACAACTGTGTCACGAAATTCAGTAGCGGAAAAATGTCTTAAAAATTCCCAACTAGTTATTCGATAGTTACAAAACTTATAATGGGCAACTTTTAAAGAAGAAACGCAATAAATAAGTCCGCGGTGGACGCTTGCCACCATTAAAAAAGTAGCCATGGCGTTGTGAAGTTGCGCGCCATTTTAATTCGAAACTTTTTAAAAATTGTCGGCCGTTTGACACAAGCTCTTCCGGAGCGCATCGTTCAGAAACTTGTGATTTAGTTTTTAATTTTATAAGTGAATTATTATGCATGGTTTTGTGAGATAATTTAATGAAGTGCTCATAAAATTAAAAGTAAGTAAGTATATTATTATATTTTTCTTAAACAGGTTAGACTGATTTCTAGTCATATTCATGGTATTTTTTTTTGTAAATCGCTCTTTGACCTGTAATTTAAATATTACCAGTAAATATTGTATTATTATTAAGTTTAAGTAATCGAATCCCTATTTCGTTATCTTACTTCTTACTAATATAATAAATCCGAAAGCTTAGATGGATGGATGGATGTTTGTATGAAGGTACCTCGTAAAAGCCTTAGCGGATCTCAGTAAAATTTGACATTGATATAGAACATAATCTGAAAGAAAAGAAAGACCAATAATTAAGTTTTTTTCTACAATTCCGCACAAACGGATTCGCAGACGACAGCTTGTTAAAATATTTATTCATTCGAGTAATTACATCACTAGTAGTCTTATTTAAATATTCCATAAAGCATTTTAAAATGTTAAAATCCAACCCAAAGTTTAGTTATCTACATAAACTGTCATTTAACTGACTCAAACATAAAATCCATTAATAATTGTTTAACAGTAAAACAACATTTAAACAAACAAGACAACATTAAAAGCTATCGCTATCTATTACAAATTAGGTTCATAAATCTCACAATGAACGAGTACACCGACAAATCAAAATTCCACACCATATTTTCTATACGTAACGCCCCATATAGTGATGTGACGAATCACTAACAGAATATCGAGAACTATAATAATTAAATTACTTTGTACAATAATTTACAAGAAAAATCACTTATTAATTAATTTAACATATACAGTAAATGAATATATCAATAAACACTTCTAATAAAGTCGTAATAACTAAGGTCATGTTGACTAGTGAATTAAAAATAGAATAGTTGTTGTGACGAAGTGGTTTATGAATAATAGTTCGCTATTAAACAATATACAACATTTGAATTGGTAAATCATCATCATCAGCTCACTATATGTCCCCACCGAGGGGCTCGGAGCCTACCATAAGTTAGGGGTGATTGGGCCATAGTTAACCACGCTGGCCAAGTGCGGGTGGCACGCTGGCCGTAAGAACGTCGGATAAATGTACATATGTAAATCGGAAATTGAAAAACACATTGGTACATGGCGCAATTCGAACCCAGAACCTGCAGATTGCTAATCAAGTGCTTGATTCTTGAGCCACCGAAGCGCTATATCTATTTAATAGGTAAATGTCTAAAAGAAAACCTAGTTTTGATTCTTTCTAGATAATAAGCAGTTATAAAATTAATTTTCCTTTTTAGGATGTTTTAATTCTGCACGTGACAAAAGATATTTTATATTACTGTGCTAAGGCCAGATCTATAAAAAGCAATCAGACTAGTGAAATGGAGTATTAATTAAATAATTAACAGTATAATTTACCTTGGCATTTACAATTCAGTCTTTTTCAATTTAACATTTTATTAGAAAGCTATTATAACGTTAATTTTTATCGATGTTGGAATGGGTACGTCACTATTCTATAAAATGCAAATCCCGCCATATTCACACGCGAGCGCGGCAAAACAATGACGTTGCCATGACAACGTGCAATATGGCCGCCGCTATCTGTGACAGGCGCGTTCACACAGAAGACAATGATGCAATCAAGATAGCAAATATTGCGTGTGTTTTTTGTGCGTTTTTTAAACGTTTTATTTACGGCTATTTATTCAGTTAATAATATTTTTCTCTCGTGTCCTTTCTTTGCAGCCATAGTTTTTTTGGAACTGAGATAACAAACCTTTTTTTCGCGACCTCTTTCAAAATTATATTTATTAGAGTAACTAGCTGTCGCCCGCGACTCCGTCCGCGTGGATATATAAAAAAACTTAATTAGTGTAGCCTATACGTTCTTTCAGACGTATGCCAAATTTAATCGAGATCCGTTCATCCGTTCTAGAGATATTTTCAAACACCTATTCATCCATCCACATCACATCCATCTAAACATTCGCATTTATAATATTAGTAAGTTAAATAAAAAGCAAATAAGACATAAATTCAAAAAAAAAAAGAATCAGTATGTCCGTCTCCTGGCTATAAAGCCGTTCTTGAGTTATTCATAAATAGTGTAACTAATACTTTATTTTATATATAGAAGTCTTGTTACGTTATTAAAGCGTCATGTTTTCAGTCTACATATCTGTGATCATCCAATTAAGATTGTTTTCCGGACTTTTCACTTCCTTTCGTAAAAAAACAAATTGCATCTTCCGTATGTATGACACCAAGACAGGCTTCCGTTTTGCTGGAGTGAATATTATTTATTTTTAATTCGTTAGAACTCAGACGTTTCGTACAAAACAAACTCGAGAGCGAGAGAGGTAAAATATTAAATTGAAATCGAATAATGTTGAATGTCTCGAGGGAAACATAAACTTGCGAATAAAGATGACGACACACTAATGTTGAAAATATTACCTAAAACCTCCTCTGTCAAATCCACATCCCTATCTTATCCTACCCTGTCCTTATAAGAAAGGACCGGGATCGGGAAGGGGATTAAAATAGGCATCCGAGACTCATCAGATGAAACGCGAAATTGCTTCCATTCACGCTTGTCTTCTGTGTGGTTGTGCAACAAATGTTGTTGCAGGCGTCTACCACTGTTATTATTATTTATTAGTTGTTTATTTTTATATTATACGCTAAAAATTTCATTATTTTGTATAAGATATACGCACGATAGTAAAGATTACTAGAATATTAAGCACTCAAATTATTCAAACTTTGGTGAGACATTTTAATATACTTATTAAAAAACGGCAAAACACTTAAGTATATTCGTCCGGTGGCGGCATCAGTCTGATGAAGGCCACCCGATGGGCTCGAAATTAGTCGGTGCCGCCACCGGATGAATATACGTGAGTGTTTAGCCATTTTTATATTACTATATTAAGCACCGAAATGTGGTATCGCCCTAATGATGACGAACATATTGCCTAAGCTATTACTTTATTTAAAATAATAACAAAGTCAAATATCATGTTGATACAACGACTAGTGAATCGTGATGTTCACTCTACAAATACTAAGAAAATAAAACAATACTTCTTTATGAAGCAGTGGTTTCCAACCAATGGTTCGCAATAGTCAAAATATCGTCCGTGAATTTTTTAGTGGCCAGTGAACCGTTGGTCACCATGCAGTAAGTTATAAAAGCGCTGGTGGTACGCGGACTCACCGGCTTTGCGAAATTACGAAACTATTCGTACAGCGTCACTAATATCCGGGAAAGTAACGAAAAACTATTTTTGATGACTTTAACATAGTAGTCTTGCTAAGAAGGGAATAAATATTGTCTCTGACCAATAAGGTTAAGAACCTCTGGTATACAAAAATACTTTTTCTCAGTACAAAATATTATTATGATTGATGACATAAGTCGTAGAATAATACGTAATAAAACATAAGTAAAAACAAAAACATATTTTGAATAAACTTGCATATCTTAACACATTGTTTAAATATCACTTAAATTATGGTATAGCGGCATATCGCAGCATGAATGTCCCGCACTCCTTCTGCAAAAGATTCACAGAACACATAATATACTATTAGGGGAGTCCTCTGATGAATATCATCATCAGCTCACTATAAGCCCCCTACTGAAGGGCTCGAAGCCAACCCTAAGTTAGGACTGACTAGGTCAACCACGCAGGTCCAGTGCGGGTTGATTGACTACGACAGACTAACTGACTGACTACTAGTCAATCTGATGAGCATGCTAGACGTCAAATATAAAGTTTTCTTCCCCTACCCATTTGTCATAGAAATATGGTCGAGACAATTTACAGGAAAGTAAAATGTTTTTCTTTAACATTCTATTATCTGGCTTTGGGATACAGTTTGAATATGTTTTTCGTTTCAGGAACACCATTTATAATGAATACCTTACTTTTACTCGTATGTTTGTGGGCTGTGAGAGCGCAAGAACAGTCCTCACTGGCAGAACAATCCAAACAGTACCTGGACAAACTCAACAAACTATTAGGACCAGTTCCAACTAGGTATGTAGTAAAATCTATATTAATAAAAGAAAATATTATAGAGAATGTGACTTTCCACAGCTGATATACCTATAAGAAAACATATTGTCGTCTCTTTTATCCTCTCTGAAAAGACAAAGATATTGATTGTTTTTTAACAAGGTCATTCGACTCAAACTTAATTTAAAAAGAAATTTGCATTTTGTTACTTTGTTGTAAAGTACAATGCAATTTTTCCGTACGCGGAATACCGCGAAATGCCCTGACTGTACCTTCAATATACATCCTGTTCCAGGAAAGGTCCTGTGCTCTTCCCACCATCACCTCCGGACCCACCAGCAGACAATGTCGTAACTTTGAAACCTGATGCCGAATCAGTGAATACCTTCCAAAAGCATTATTTCGCTAGACTGACGCAATACAAGCCTGTAACATTAGCCACCTTGTCTCCAGAAACGTTAGCACCAAGAATTGATTCTGTAGATTATGTTTACGATGAAGCACCTTATACAGATATTGAAAAGAAATCAATTGGTAACAACTTTGGAAGTAATTATAATCAATTTGAGGTAAGTAACTAAATTACTATAGCGTTAACAGTGGTAGAGCCCGCTTTAATATCTTCGTACGAATTGCCCGGCTCGCCCGGTGAAATACCACGACCACACAGAAGACAGGCGTCAAATGGAAGCAATTCCGCGTTTCGTACTAAATATAACATCGAGATCCATGCAGCCGTTCTTTAAATGCATCCAAAAATTCGCATTTATAATATTAGTAATATGAGAAGCGATTTTGTACGACTAGACGTTTCGTGTATTGTCAAATTTCTCAATATCACTACGACATATATTTTGAATGTGATAATTAAGAAATGAATTTATGCAAAATACTTAAACGCCAATTAACAGCGGCTTACTTCTACAAAAGGGGTGAATAAATAAGGAAAATGAGTTATTTTTGAGAGGTGTTTATTTTGAAATATAATTATTCATAATTCAAAGGTTTTATGGAAGATATCTTCGCTTTGTTATACAACATTTTGTTTATTTCTCGTTTATATTTTTAATGAGAATAAAATTTTAGCATTTACTCTTTTGTTTTTGAATAAATCTCTTCTTTCTATCTCTCTTCTTTGAAAAGAAATGAGCGGGATGATAATATGTTTTATATCTACACTTTTAAAACTCACTGATGAAAGACAGTAAATAGTAATTACATTGCGCCTTTGAATAAAGCAAAATGAAATTAAAAAAAAATGTCTTAAACCCATTTTATCTTTTTCAGACAAGAACTGCTTTGCCGTCAATATACAACGCTTTAGCTCAACAGACCACACAACGATCTTACCCTGTCTACGATTATCAGGTATAACATAAGTTTCCACTAAAAAACATGTACAAAAACTCGTACTAACACCCAACATATAAGACATTTGAACGGTTAGTCCTATGAAATGCCACGACCAAACAGAAGACAGTCGTCAAATGGAAGTAATTCCGCGTTTCGTCTTATAAGTGTGCATGCCGGAGGCCTAATTTAAGCCCCTTAGTGTACTTGATGGAAGAGGGACGCATAGGAAGGGGAAATATTCTCATCCTATGCGCCTCCAACTCTGCAATTGTAGATTTCGCTTCGTTTTTTCGACGATTTTAGCTAGTCGCTTGCTCTTTTATCAACTTATAACATAAAAACAAAGTGATCCTATAAGGGTTCCGTTGTTTTCCTATGAGGTACGGAACCCTAAAAAATCATAAATTTACGATTTTTTTTTACTTTATTTTTTCCTTATGTTTTCAGTCCAATATACAAGTAAATCAAAACAAAAACACCGATATATCTGAAGAGGGAAACAATTCGGAAAATGAAAAGGTTAGTTTTTAATTATTTTTTTAAATACACATAAATTGTACACACGTAGTTATATCCATTTTAGTTTTTAACACAGTTCTAATTTTTGTTTCAGGACAAAAGCTACGCGTTTTCTTACACAGTAAAAGATCAAAAAACAGGTGACGATTTCTCTCATTCACAACAAAGCAGTGGGTCAGCTACCAATGGAGAATATCGTGTTAAATTACCAGACGGACGCACACAAATTGTGTCATACACAGCCGATGAAAACGGATACAAAGCTGATGTAAGATATGACGTAGATACTCCTAATATCGAATATAATTATGATAATATAAAAGCGAATAATCGAAAAGACTACAATGATTATAACGCGCCAAATGTTGCTAAAATAAATGATAATCAAACTCCTAATAAATTGGATTACAAAGATCTTTCAAAAGAATATTATAATGATTATTCTGCAGAATATAATAGCAAAAATTATGAACCGCATCAAAGTAAATTTGCTATTTTATTTAATAGTAAGAACAATGAGTTAAAAGATTTTAATCAATATTTAACTACAGTTAAACCTTATGTTAAACTTGAAGATGTTTTATCGAAAGCATTACCTAATGTTCAACCGACCTTTAACTATTATGCTAAAGATCCTGCAGAAAATGTTGTGTTAATTGGTAATCGAAATACATTTAAAAATCCATCAGATACAAATTTTATTAATTCGACACCAAGAAACTATTTAGTATCAACAATATCTAGTTTAAGAGATAGATCCAAACCTATATTATCTGATAGTTTTATTAATAGAATTAATAAATACTTATCTTTCAAATAATTTCAAATAATACTTTGAAATATTAACAATAGGATTCTTAGACCAAAATTTCTATACAAAACATATCATCCATGTCTTTTTTATTTATTAAGACAAGCCAACAGCATACATATTATATAAAATAGTTGAAAACAAAAAATTACACAAACATTTTACTTAATTACAGTCATGCACAAATTACGTTAGACGCATTTTTGTTTATTTTTAAAAGATCCCAAGCTATCACTAAATATGTCTATGTTCAAGTTGTTAATCATGTTATATTCGTTACATATACACAACAATGTACGCAATAATATTTAACAAAACAGAGATATCAATATGTTTTAAATGAGATTTTATTAAAAAAAAACTAATGACAAGACACTTTTAAGCGTCAATAGTCTAATGGTTAGGGGTACGGTTTTCTGATCAAGAGGTCGGGGGTTTGAATCCCGCCATTCGACTATTGTCGTAAACCATATCCTAGCACAAGCCTAGACCTTAGTTGGAATGGTGAAAGAAATATTAGTAAATTTACAAAAAAAATCTGCTAATATTTTATTAAAAAAAAAAACTTTAAGATTTATAAAAAGCTTGAGACCCCACATCAGTGGGTTATGGCTACGAAGAAGACCTACGGTAAAAGATGCTAATGGTCGCTAGGGAAGTTAAATAAACAGTACGACAATTAAGATCTTAAGTTATTTAACTTTGTTTATAGTTATATTGATTTATAAGTTTAGTTTATTAAGTTAGTATTAAGGCAAAATTATGTTTCTTATCTTTGATAGCATATTGTTATACCTCATTATGTCTGTAATGTTTGTATATTTATCTTTATTTGTATCCGTTTCAGTGCTTTACGTTTGTAAGTTTTTTTATCGATAAATATTAAAATGTCTGCACTAAGAATAGATTTAACAGTGGCAGAGCCTGCTTTACCATCTTCGCACGTATTGTCCCAGCTCGCCCGGTGAAATACCACGACCACACAGAAGACAAGCGTCAAGTGGAAGCAATTTCGCGTTTCGTCTGACGAGTGTGTGTCCCGGAGGCCTTATTTAGTCCTCTACCCCTTCCCACCCTTTTTCTTATAAGGAAAGGATGGGAAGTGGAAGTGGACTTTCCGGATGAGAGGACGCATGGGAAGGGAAAATATTTTCTTTCTGTCCATCCTATATCTATTCGCTCTAATTTATTTATACTAAAATTATTGTTTAAAAATTTGAATTTGTAATCTCACGAAGTTACCAGATGTTAATTAAATATTTTTGAAGAAATAAACATGTATGATATTTATATATTATCAATATCCTTCATATTTCATGAATAAAATTATTAATGAAAAGAAAAAACGCATAAACAGGACATTAAATCTATGGTTAGTCATCCTGAAGATGACATAGAGAAAGTGAGTCAAAGGCATTTTTTTTTTCGTCAAAAGAACACAAGACTTGTTTATTGACGATGTATTTGGGTCATCTCTTGTTAAGGCTAGTTTGCCCGGACGATGACTTGCAAACTCTTTTCTATCTCGATTCTATTGGGGCCACGAACCATGATTTCAAATTATTATTTTAAAAAGTAACAAACATGAGTTACACTAAAATAGTGACCGCTGTGAACAAGTTAACGAAGCAGACGTACAAACGCTTGCACGGACTATATTTTTTCTCTACCTATACGTTCACTCCCCCCAAACCGACTTCCTAATCCAATCCTTTCCAAAACAAGAGAAGGATCCTTCCCCTCTAGCTGTCACCCGCAACTCCGTCCGCGTGGATATATAAAAAACTTAATAATCTAAACTTAAGTATGCCAAATTTAATCGAGTTCCGTTTTGCCGTTCTAGAGATATCTTCAAACACCCATCCATCAACATCACATCCATCTAAACATTCGCATTTATAATATTAGTAAGTTAAATAAAAAGCAGCTCACTTCACTCCCCCCAAACCGACTTCCTAATCCAATCCTTTCCAAAACATGGTAGGACCCTTCCCCTGAAGAGAACTAGAATTTGGAGCAAGCACGTTTACGTAGTCGTGTGTACCGTTCGAATTAAACATTCGTGCATCAGCTAATGCTTTACTACTAATTTAAATGTTTTTAGTCGTAGTTTTCATGGCCCTAAACTGGAGAATGATTCCGCGATATAATTTTCTTTGAGCATTCATGCTACAACTTATGTTGTATGATTGATTGTCCGCCATTTTGTTCCGCAGTCACAGGTGCGGACTCGCTCGGTTAACCTAGAACAATAAATCAATATTTGTTTACTAAGAACGTTTTCAAATATTCTAATATCTTTAGATTATAAAGGAGATTTAATTTAAAAAGTTTTAGCTCAGGATAAAATCTAATTAATTAACAAAATTAAGAGTACGATTGTATTTGAAGAAGTGTGATTCATTTTAAAGTTTTTATAAGAAGAATTCGTGGTTGTAACATGTCTGCTTACTATTTTTGATTACGTCGAAAATGTCTACGGTTATCTTTGTTGTTACAAAAAAAGGGTCTTGACAGACGGACGGACGGACAACAAAGTGATCCTATAAGGGTTCCGTTTTTTTCCTATAAGGTACGGAACCCTAAAATCCAAAAAAGAAGAAAAAAATTGTGAAATTAGAATGATAAAAATTTTGAAAATCGAACAATAATTTAAGCTTTATATTAACATTAGATGTCGCTCGAGTCTCCGACAGCACGGAATTGAAAAAAAAAACTTCTTATAATAAATAATCTATGGTGCTTTTCAAAACAGTACCAAACTTGATTGAGTTACGAATACGTGATGCCAAACATTAAAACGCATTTATCTATATATATAAAAGAAAGTCTTGTTAGTTACACTATTTATAACTCAAGAACGGCTTTACCGATATGCCTGAAAATTGATGAGGAGGTAGCTTAGAGCCAGGAGACGGACATAGGATACTATTTATTCATTTTTGTTTTCGAATTTACGCCTTGATGTGCTGCTTTTTATTTAACTTATCTATATATTAAGTTTTTTTTTATCCACGTGGACGGAGTCGCGGGCGACAGCTAGTAATGTAATAAATTATGATAGTTTCAAACAAAGTTTTAATTAAATTATTTATTATTACTTACAAGATTTATTTTATTAGTACAAAATGAAATTGGCCTAAACATTAGAGGGTTCAAGTCGCAGTCACAGAAAATTGCGACTATATAGAGTTCCCGACTCCGGCCAAGATAAGGCGAGATAGTGCTGTCGTACGGCCTGTCGATTATTACACTCGCCTCTTTTAGTGATGTCTATGATATCGATAAAATTAAAAAAAAATCACGTTATCCTTAACTGTAATAAAACTGTAACACTTTGCACAAAAATAATACACTTTTTTTTATTGTCTACGTTTTAAATTGCTATATTAAACTATTTAACTAAAAATACAAATCAAATTAATTGTAACTATTAAAAATTAATTCGTTCGTTTGTTATACAGGATTTTTAGGTCTATTAGTAATCAAGCAATTAACTGAATTTCGTTCTTGCATACCAAGTTCAGATATAAAAAATGTTTATCGATAAACATATACATCACTAGGTCAATAGAACTCACATGTTCCGCTGAGTCTGCTGGCGCGCGGCCAGGACAGTCCGCGTTGATACACCCGCCTCCCCCACACTTACATCTTGAACTATAAACACTGGAATCATTGCATATCACTTTGATTGCATAAGTGTCAATTTAAATAGACAAAGGTAAGGTACAAAGGAGTTTTATATTATTTCTATACGTTCTTAACTCCGCAAATTCCATCAAGTTATCCTATCTTTTCCTTACTATACTACGGTGGACGAAAGTCACTCAGCTTCATAAATGGATAGGTGTTTGCTTGTAAATGACAGCTTTTGTCTCGTTCCAACTTAAACGTTCGAATTCTCACAGCGCCACAATGGCGAAAATCAAATAGGCACAAAATAACACGGTTTATAGCCTGTCCATGTATAATGGTCATTGACTAAAGTTGACTTTCGGTACACATTACTCAGATGAAAAGGGAAAATACTTCCAGTGGATGCCTGTTTTCTGTATGATCGTGCAGCGGACTATACTTAACGTAATAAGTAGCCTATGTGTTCTTCCAGACTATTTTCTGCATCTAACAATTTTCTGCGAGGTCTGTTGAGCCGTTCCGAAGATACCGCCAAATAAACATCCATCGATCCAAACATTCGCATTTATAATATTAGTAAGGTGATTTTTATTATAAAGGTTTTGGAATTGGCCGTTAAAAGCCATAAAATTCAGTAAAGAAAAACATGACATATCGAAAAAAAACAATAATTAAAAATAACAAACATTAAATAACATGTTCATTACTCTATTAGGTCTTAGTTCAAGATATATTGCGTCAGTTTATTGGACTTAAGTTACCACAGAGTACGTTACTCTAACGAGCAATAACTTGACGTCCAAACGTCTAACATACAACCATTTATGGCACATAACTTAATTAACGGCATTAATATAAAACAAAATTATTCCTCATCTTGTAGACTGCGCGCAACGAGAAGATACGGTAATGGTCGACGCCATTTTGAGACAACGGCAAATGGTCGCCCTTTACAACGTTATGGCGGGAAATAAAATTTTTTTCATTGTTATTAATGAATCATAAGAGATTTACGCTATTGTACAAAGTGCCACTTAAAGTCTAATGAAAAATGTCGAATAATCAACGTTCTAATTTATCAAATATTACCAACTTGAAAACCAACACTATTAGTATATTCATTTTTAAACTTTTAAAAAGGTTCTTACCCTAGATTGGATTTTAGGTGTCCCTTAACTATCTAAGAACCCTAAATAGTTACTAGAAACGGACGTAAAACCTTTATTTTCAATGTATTCAGCTATAGGATGCTATATTGAAATTTCAATCTATTACAAGTACTTTTATTTGCATTGTTCTATGTAGTTTTTGTTGATGGCAACATTTGATCCAATACAGCTCGAGTGGATTATCTTTTAAGCTGCTTGCTTGGTTTGTGTTGCCACCGACATTGTTATAGCGTTTTATGATGACGTTGTTTTCGAGTGTAGCGTGTTTGTTGTTTGCGCAAAATATTTTTGTGTACGAAATATTCTACGTTATATTTTTGAAGTAAAGAATATAAATATGTAACTTCAGGTACAGATTATATTATTAAACAATACTCATGTCAGATACCTATAGCGGTGAATATGTAGATAAAGATATCGTAGATTTAATTTATCTGGTTAACCGGACACTTTACGTCCACTTCTCTTCTCTTCTTTTCTTTTTTATCCTCTTCTTCGTAAGCTTGCCGATTAAAAGCTTTATGAAATCAAATATTAGTTTTGACTTATTTTTAAAACAATCGGTTGCTACAAATTGGCTGTAAGTTTTAAACTTTTGTAAATTATTGCAATTTAAAAAGACCACTGTCAACTGTCAAAATTACATTGTTTTGAAATCGAAAACGGTTGATCTATTCAGGTTGTAAACTTCAATAAAGTTTTTCATATTAAAACAAGTTGTAAGAAGTGCAAAAAGTTTAATATTAATATCGTTTCAGGAGGACAAAGTAATTTATTAAATTAACTAACCATAATAATGGACGTTCAAAAGAAACCTCTGAAGATTTACATACAAGACATTTTTCGCGCGAAAAATACAATCGAAAACAAATACATATATCAACTATTCGGAATGAAGTTCAAAAACGTAATGATTCAAGGCGTTGTTACGGATGCTTATAACAAAACCAGTAAATCGATTAATTTAGAAATAAGTGACGCAACAGGGTCTGTTAAAGTTTATTATGATTCGACGAAAAATAATAATAACCTAAATAATGATATTATGAAAGAGTTGAGTCGCGATTTATCTAAACTTTATGCCTTCAATAACAATAATTCTACTGTTATGTCATCCATGTTTAATTTGATGTCGGAAAAAAAAGAAAATATGTTAAATTTTGTTGGAGGGCATTACGTCTGTATAGTAGGTGACATTTTTGTGGAAGACGTTAGTAATAATAGAATGGTATCAGCATTTCACTGTAAGCACACATCAATAGAGAGAGATCTTGTATGGATGGAGGAACTAAGATATATTTATGAGAAATTTTATCTTTGGAACAAAGTACCTGAAGAATCCAAGACTTTAGAAAAGACATAATAAATTGTCCTATAACTTTAAATTCTATGAAATATCTTCATATGTCTGAAAAAATCATTAGAATTAGAAAATTGATAATAATTATGGGTAACTCAACCAAACTTGGTGTCCTGCATATCAGCTTGGTTGACAACTTTGATGCAGGTCAGATGCAGTTCAGCTTACTTTGTGAACTGCCAGTCATCAGGCAGCTTGCAACTTGTATGGCTCACATAGTTACAATCCGTGAGTTGTCATTTTATTTGTTGATTGCAGCTCAATGGTTCAAGTCTATGTGATTTGAAATTTTGTACCGGTTCATAGTTTATTTACACACTCTGAACTGGTATATATATCTTTGCTACTATATTTTGAAGTTACTATGTACTACTGTAACTTTAAAATGCCAATGTTTGTTCTGTTATCTGCGGCTTCAAAATACCAATCTAAGGTTCCTTTACTGGCATTGTTTATCTTTTTATAATTTTTCTATCTAAATAACAATAAATATGACATGATAATTTGGTTTTTGTAATAAGGTTGTTTATGAGAAAATTCTAATGATTTATTAAAATCTCTTTAAATCTTAACAGTAAAATTGTTTTGTGAAACTGTATATTTAATATTACTCATAATTCTAAACTTAAAATACACAAGATTTACTGTTGAGTTTTGTGTATTGAAAGAAATAAGAGAGGACATTGATTTTTGTCTAAATAAGACATGCCTTTCACTACCTTTGATTATAAAAAGTGAAGGAACCACAAATCATACTTTTCTACCAAGAATCGGAACCGAAAATAAATCGATGTATCAAAATCTGATTGGAATCGGACTTTTTCAAGATGATAAACTGAAATGTCATCGAATTCTATTTCAACTGACACAAACAAATTGAAGTTAAAGTGTACTAAGAAGGAAAAAAAATAAACTACGAGACACAAAATAACTTACATATATGTGTACCATTTTTTATATTTTCAAAAACATAATTAAAATTCAATTAAATCGATATCGTAAATCTTGACAGTTCATCGATTTGACATTGAACTAGTAACATCCCTATTTATTGACAGTGACATCAATGACATAAGATTATCACATCATATCGAATGTTGACTTTTGCTCGATTAAACTTTAATTATCTTAAGAATTTCAAGCCTATCAACACTTTATTAATACAGAGGTAATTTTATTAATTACAGTAATAAATTTATTTGCAATTTTTTTAAAAGGTCCCTTTCTGAAATCGAAGTATTGAAATTAATTTAAGTTTTAATAATATCGTTAAATTTCCAGCAGAGCCATGTCGGGTGCAGGAATATCTCCTCAAGAAGTGGAATCACTATGTCAAACTCCTCATCCTTCTACCAAGGTCAGTAAAAAAAACTTTGAACAATCGATTATAAAATGTTCACTACGCCTAACAGAATAAAGTTCATTATTCGCCAACACGTAATTTGACGAACTCTGATAAGATTAACATTCAAAAGATACACTTCATCCATCCTATTTATCTTTAGAAAGAAAATGTGTTTAATATTATTACTTACAAAATAAAATATTTATCTAGTAACTTATGACCTTCTTATCTGATTTTTTTAGATATAGTTTCCTATAAATAAAATTTTAACTACAATTCGATCAATGTATAAAATAGCTGATAAAACCTGTCTTATAGTAAACTATTGTTAGATATGTTATATTACTTTTAAAGGTAGGCATTTACATATTTTTCTTAATAGTTAATTAACAGAGTTAACATTTAGATTAAACAATTAACTATTAAGTTAACTTAAAAATGTTAATGTGTTAGTTAACTTCCGTTAACTTCAACTTTCATTAATTTTGGATTAACTGAGCCCACCTGTGATTAACTTACATACAACTTACATTCCAGGATTTTATGTTCCAACAAACAATGTACCGCATAAAAGACCCGAGGAAATCCATTCCCTTTTACACAGGAGTACTTGGGATGACTTTGTTAAAACAACTTCATTTCCCTGAAATGAAATTCTCTCTGTTCTTCATGGGATATGAGAATCCCGCTGAAATACCAAAGGATGAGAAAGCAAGAGCAGCATGGGCTATGACCAGGAAGGCTACGCTGGAGCTAACATAGTAAGATATTTTATACTAGCAGTAGCACACGACTCCATCCGCGCGGAATTGAAAAAAACTTAACAAGTAGCCTGTGTTCTTCCAGACTTTGTTCTACATCTATACCAAATTTTCACAAGATTTATGCAGCAGTTCTGGAGATACCTTCTTGTAAACATCCAACCATCTAAACATTCCCATTTATAATACTAGTAAGATTGTTTCATATCTATACAAAGCTGTAATCAAATAAAAGATCGTCAACATTGTTTTTTTTTTAGTTATTTCGTCAAAGTGAAGAAATGTACTGGTGAATGAGATTTTTGTGTTAATTTCCAGTAACTGGGGCACAGAGAGTGACGACTCATGTTACCACAATGGTAACTCTGACCCCCGAGGGTTTGGTCACATTGGTGTACTGGTTCCTGATGTTGATGAAGCTTGTGCCAGGTAACTTAAATTGATTACTTATAGCTTTATAATTTAAATTTTCATATTTCCTGTTATTTCTTTATAGTTTGCTAAAATAGTGAAGTGGCCGCTGTCTATAGACATCTCTATTTGCATATGCAATTGCCTACTTCTATTCAATAAGTCAGGGAATGTATAGAAAAAGGATATTGTACCATTTTCCCGTCTCCTTCTCTTACATTCACCCAAACTATCCTTATTTTATAAAAAAACTCTGGCAGTAAATATTTTTATTAATATCTAAAGACGACGGAAAATGTAAGGATGGAAAGAGCGTTTGGATTATGATGAATTTTGAAATATTATGTTATATAATAAAAAGATAAAATGAAAGTATAGAATAGAATTATTAGAAATAAGGAGAAAAGCACACACTGTTACAAGAATGTATTTAAAACTGATGGTTTTAAAAATAGAGAAAAAGGAAGAAAAAACATATAAAGTTCTAAATTCAAAAATATAACAATTATGAATAAAAACGTGTAAAAAGTTCCGTATCTGTCGGCAACAATATTTTTAAAACAGCATATAACAATATGATTCTTTTTAAATTCTTTGCTAACAGAGTTGCGGGCAACAGCTAGTAGGGTTTATAATTTATATGATTTTGTTTAATGGTCCCTATTTTAAGGCTTTTTATAGATAAATTTGACTGAGGTGTATTTAATTAACTGTATTTAATTACAGATTTGAACAGCAAGGTGTGAAGTTCATCAAGCGTCCACAAGATGGAAAGATGAAAGGACTTGCTTTTATACAGGATCCCGATGGCTACTGGATTGAGATCTTCAAGGCTGACGTTGTGTCGTAAGCAGAGATACATTTATGAATATTATAGCACGACCAGGAATATAGAAAAAAATTATGGGAAAGACAAGAACAAGGAAAAAAATTACCTTAATAATTAGAAAAAAAACAATAAAAGCTGACTTATTTGGATAGGACTTAGGAAAAGAGAGAGCAGATAGTAATTTAAATAAAAATTCACATTCACCCTTGACAGTTGACCGTTGTCAAATTGTCAAGTTGTCAAAATGTCAACTGTTCATTGATTTGGAGGAAAAATAATTTGAAACTTACCAGGTCATAAATAAAAAAAAAATGAAACATTTTTAAGGATATATCAAAGAGTAAATATAATGGAGTTTGGTTTTGAAATGACATTAGTTTGACATTTGAGTGTTGCAATATAAAAGGCGATTGTAGCGCCCTCATGAGTTTGTATTGTTGGTCAGGCTGCGTGTAGATCGTCAATTAATCAATGTTAAATATATTTTATACTCGTATTTAACTATTAGAAGTATACTCACTGTAAAATCAATTATTTATATCTGTTGGAAAATAAAAAACATGTAAAATATTTATGTATTTTTATTGACGGAATTAATAAAGTTTTTTTTTTATTTTTATGAGAGATTTTTGGCGCCATTTATTTTTTGGCGCGAAAGTTTCTTTAGTTCGGACTTTATTTGACTTACAATTTAATTCAAACAAAGTACTAATAGAAATAAAAAAAAAAACAATCGTCAATACTATTTGTAGCCTACAGTTATAATTAAAAATGTGTTTGTTATAAGAAATGTGATTTTTTATAGTGAAATTAAATTTTATAACTTGTTTTGTTTGAGTGCGTTTTATATATAAATAATAAATGTTGATTTATCATGTTTATTTGTGTTTTATTTCTTACCCCCATTTGTCCGAGTAATCGTGAGTTTCTGATACTAGCTGTCGCCCGCGACTCCGTCCGCGTGGATATATAAAAAAACTTAATTAGTGTAGCCTATGTGTTCTTTCAGACTTTGTTCTATGCGTATGCCAAATTTAATCGAGATCCGTTCAGCCGTTCTAGAGATATCTTCAAACACCCATCCATCCATCTACATCACATCCATCTAAACATTCGCATTTATAATATTAGTAAGTTAAATAAGAAGCAGCACTTTAATGCGTAAATTCGAAAAAAATGAATAAATAGTATCCTATGTCCGTCTCCTGGCTCTAAGCTACCTCCTCACCAATTTTCAGGCATATCGGTAAAGCCGTTCTTGAGTTATAAATACTGTAACTAACACAACTTTCTTTTATAAATATAAGATTTGTTACAAAGTTTTTTTTTTTAATTCGGAGAACTGTCGATGAAGTTCTAATAATAGTTAATAAAAAAAAAATAGTAGCGTTCGCCTAAAACTGAGTAGTCTAATATGGCCGCGTGCATCTACCTTCCCGACAAAGTCCTTCCAACCGTTCGACAAAGTAAATACATCATGGAGATTAGACAAAGTGTATTCACTACGAAGCGATTCCATAGCGAACTTCAAAAATGTATAGTACTGAAGATAACTTATAAGTCACGTGATTGTTGCGCGTCATTTCATTTTTGAAGTTCTCTATGGAATCGTTTCGAAGCGTATACACTTTGTCTAACCTCGCTGATGTGCAAAATATGTTTTTTAGCGATTACATTCTGACAATCCAATTTTATATCTAAATTACCTAATAGTTGTTACTCATCATATTTTACAAATGATAAAAATTAAATACAAAATTTAATATGACATAATCATGTTGTTTTTATCATTTGCAAGCGTTACTTGCAGATTTACCAAACATATATTTAGTACAGTTTTGTCTGATAAATCTCTATTTATTTACGACATTTCAACTGAATAATACAATAATCAGGTAATTTGTGCTTATTTTGATTTAACGAAATAACTATATTTCGTAATTTAAAAGTGAAAAATCAAAGACAAGTGAAACTTAGAAGTTTTTAAAAGTGTTTTTTTAATGTCCCATAGTGTTTTTCTTTTTTTTTAAGGGCAAAAGCTTTTACCTAAATGGTGATGTCTACCCGTTATTTTTCCCAACTAATACGAACTATGTTGGTATATTTGTTTCAGAATTAATATTTTAGTTAAAAACAAACAACAACAAATTACTTTCGTTTTTAATTTCTAATTGTGATTAACATTTATTCAAAGAATAAAAATTATTTGAGACATCTCTGCCTACCCCTCTGGGTTACGAGCGTTAGGTTGTAGATGATGTGAAAATTGTTTGGCCATTGATTTTCTATTTCTGCTGTATATTACTTTTAAATATTTCAGTCGCACAATGGCTAACGAAGGTATCCCGTCGACAGAGATTGAGGCGTTATGTAAAACTCCACACCCCTTTACTAAGGTAAGTCATATTTCTTTACAAAAAACAAAATTAATCTTATACAAAATATAACGTACAAAATGCTAAAGACATGTACAAATATTACGTAACAAAACCCCACGGAATACGAATCGATATTATTATAAATGGACAGGCTATAAACCTTTGTATTTTGTGCCTGTTTGACCGTCGCCATTATGGCGCTGACGGTTGCGATTGAACTGTTAATATTTCCTCTTTTATCTCGTCCCCGCCGATTCTAAGTCAACTAATCTAGCTTGTTCGCACTTATGCTAATCAAGTGTTATACTTTTTACAGGGTTTCATGTGCCAGCAAACAATGTACCGTATAAAGGACCCGAGAAAGTCATTACCCTTCTATACTGAAGTTCTAGGAATGACTTTACTTGAACAGCTTCACGTCCCCGCTCGGAAATACTCCATTTTCTTCCTTGGACATGAAAACCCTGAAGATATACCAAAAGATCGCAATGAGAGAGTTGCTTGGATGATGTCTAAGAAAGGAGTATTGGAGTTGACACAGTAAGTTTTATCTTTACAAACTTTAAGATTCCATTTTAGAATTTAAAAAATTAAATTGTCTATGCGCTATTCTGGACTGTAATCTTTCTCTGTTCCAAATTGTATTATAAGTTATAAAAATAATGTCATTCATACTTTCTCATTTAAATTATTTCTTACTATGAATCTTTGACTGAAGATTAAACGCATCTCGATGAAATTTGACACAGTTGTAGAACATAGTCTTGTAAAAACACATACGCTACGAATTAAGTTTTTTTTAATTCTGCACAGAATCGCGAGCAACGGTGAGTTAGTAAGGTTTTTGTGCTTAATTTCAGTAACTGGGGCACTGAGAACGACGATTCTAGTTATCACCATGGTAACACAGAGCCACAAGGATTCGGTCATATAGGAATTATTGTTCCTAGCCTTAAAGACGCTTGTGCTAAGTAAGTCATTATTTTATTACTAAAACATATGTTCATCACTGATCTCTCTAAATGGATAGGAGATTGTTTTGAAATGACAGCTTTTACTTTGTTCTGATTTTAATGCGCCTGTTGATGTAACACGACAGTTAATTGTGTCTATTTTAATAGTTCCTGTTGGAATTATTTAAATTTACAATCTATACAAAAATTAATCTATAACTGTTCTATTGTTTATGATAAAAGATTGTTTATGGTCTAGGCTAAAAACGCCCAACCCCCTGTAATTTTTATCATTATCACTTCTGACTTTGCTCTGAGCAGTGCTAGGGATCGGACATATACCTCCATAGTGTTTATTATAAAAAGGATATTATATACAAGTTTATTTAAATCATTAACCGTTGTTTTTACTTTTTACCATAACTTCCTATAGTTCCAAATCAGAACAACGCTAAAACCGCTACCATCAGCGCCAAAATGGCGATAATCAAATAGGCACAAAATATTATCGTATAGCCTGTCCATTTATAGTAGTCAGTGATGAGATTCCGGAGCATGTCTCCCGCTCGTCCATTACATCACAGATATACTATTGCGAAGTGTTTTGTGTTTCGTCTGATGAATGCCAGAATATGTAAATTCGATACACCATGGTCATTAGAAAATGACTTTATCACTTGTTTATTTATTTGGTTCGTCAACAAAAGTACATGTGTACTTATATACATTTTTGGCACTATTACAAAAGGTTTCAGGAAACATGTAATTCCACTTACAGACAAACACAACATGTATAAAGTATTGGTGCATGAACAATAAAAAATAGAGTATGAAAAGTATGTTGTTTGGTAAAACGAGAAAATTTTTTTTGTTAACAAATTTAATTTTTTTTTTATTTTTTCGATGTTTAAGCTCCCAATCGTACTTGGGATTTTTGACCGCGTGCTTTAAAAAAATGCATATTTTTCATGTACTCATAGGGCAGCACTTTCAAAACGAGACGCTTTTTTATCACGCAATATTGCATTTTGAGCACTGGGTTAAGTAAGCAAGATCGATTTTCAAACGATCGAGTGCCGCCAACGCCGAGTTTTAACGCGTTAAAAAGCGCTCGTGCAGCTTGGATTGACGCGTTATAATTTTTAAAATTTTACTACAGATTCGACGAACTAGGTGTAAAGTTCGTGAGACGACCTGAGGAGTTTTCAGCAAAAGGTCTAGCTTTTATTGCGGATCCCGACGGCTATTGGATAGAATTACTTGATGTTAATGAAATTTTGACCAATTGAACATAGAATATCGATTATGATTTGAATTATTTGGTAAAATAAAACCTCTGTGAATAATATCTATTGCATTAAGACATTCATTGAGATGTCGACAACGGGGTGAATCTTTTTAATTGAATGGTAGATGAAATTATAGAAATAAATGTTTATAACCTAACGTATACAGTTTTATTTTCATATCCAATAATCTTATCCTTAACAACTGTCGCCCGCGTCTCTAATAAAAAAAATTAGTAGCCTATGTGTTCTTCCAGACTATGTTCTACATCTATGCCGAATTTCAGTGTGATCTATGCAGCCATTCTGGAGATACCTTCTTAAAAATCCATCCACCCAAACATCCCCATTTCTAATATTAGTAAGAAGTAAGTTGTTTAGGCATAGACTATCGAAATGAGATTGACATGAAGTCGGATAAAAATAAGGTGGCTCAGGGGTTATAATCTGCAGATCCTATTTTAAAATACCGCCTTGTGTTTATATATGTACATTTATTCGACGTTCTTACGATAAAGATAAACATCGTGATGCTGCACATATCTGTGAAGAAATTCAAAGATATCTGTGAAGTCATCGCGCACTGGGTTGTGGTTGACTATGGCCTAGTCACCTTTAACTTAGGGTAAGCTCCGAACCCCTCGGTGGGGACTTATAGTGAGCTGATGATGAGATAATTATGGCGAAACATATAACCACTTTGACGTGCATAATATTCTTTCACCGGCGTTCAAAGGGTTAAAACACGTGTTTAATTAAACAGCATCTATATATAATTTTTGAGGTAATACAGATTAACTGTAAAACTGTGTAAGATTACCTTTGAAAACTCCTAGGGGAAGTGGAGAAGTATTGTGAGCTGACGATGATTGGTGATACATATTTTAAGGGAACATACTATACAATCATCTTAACGTTCATAATATGTTCGGCAGTCAAACGGTTAAAACACGTGTAAAACTAAACAGAGTAACAGGGTGTACAAATCAAACTTAAATACGAAATTTTCTTTATCATTAGGTCATAAGGTTATGGTGGAGAACGTGTTTCCATTTCGTAACACAGTTCCACGTTACAGTTTGTTGATCACGACAAAACATTTTAATGTATTATAATATGCGTAATTATACGCTGTTGAAAAACGTATTATATTTTACAAATGAATTATTTACGCGTCCAAGGTTATATAGAGATTTTACTCCGGATCTTTAGTAAACATGAAGACTCTATGGAGGTTTACTGTTTCATTATTGTTTATGTGCTTTTTAATATCAACGGTCGTGAGTATTTAATATTTTAAATATTTAACTCAATGAGTATTATTTGAAACTTTAGCACTAGTATTAGTTATTTTCATAGCTCTTATTTTTTTCAATTATAAAAACATTAAATATTTTTTTTAATTTTTATAAAGCATAGAGCATTGTATTTTTTTTTAAATTATAATCTGTGGATAGAATTATTCGTAAATAATTTTTGTGATTCGTGAAAAAGTGAATTTATTTTATATATTTATGTTCTGTTAATTTCTTATTATAAAAAAATTGTGCTATTGATGTGTGTTTTTTGCTGTTTAAGAAATTTTTTGCATTACATTTCATGAAGATTTGTGAAATCGCACACAAACGTTAAACCTTTATCTTAAAGGGATGGATAAAGTTTTAGAACTAATACACTCATACATAGACTAGTCTAGACTTAGTAGTAGTGTTTCATTCATCATCATCATCATCATCTCATTATACGTACCCACCAAGGAGCTCGGAGCCTACCCTAAGTTAAGGGTGATTTGGCATAGTCAACCACGCTGACCAAGTGCGGGTTGACTTCACACATATCTTTGAATTTCTTCTCAGATATGTGCAGCATCACGATGTTTTCCTTCACCGTAAGAACATAGGATAAATGTACATATGTAAATCGGAAATCGAAAAACACATTGGTACATGGCGGGATTCGAACCAAGGACCTGCAGATTGCAAGTGAAGTGCTTGACCCCTGAGCCACCGACACTCTCGTGTCTGTTTCATTAATCAAGTAATTAATCCCTATCAACAAAGAATAAAAATTTAATTTTTAGAACACATCAGAGACCGAAGAAGATGATTCAGATGAATTCTCTTCACTCGAAACACAAAGTGATGAAGAAATTAATTCCAAGATAAATAACGAAGAAACATCACATGAAATAACAAAAGATTATGAAAAAAGCTTATACGATGAATACGAGAGACGTAGAAAATTACAAACAATCCATGATAATTTAGCAACAAAATTACAAAAAGCACTCGTTGAAAAGCTAAAAAGTCCTGAATTCAGCCAACGAATTAATCTAACAGCTGTTGAAAATTATCTACAACATGATTTAGATGTACCAAGTGGAAGAAGAAGTTTTAACAAAGATAAACTAGAAGTGGCTCTTGATGATAATCCTAATGAAGATGGTAGACGTAATTACGTCAAAAAAGTAACGTACGTTATCGATCAAAAGCCAAGTCACGCTCATATAATCAATATAAATGATGGAAACATACAATCTTTAAACCAAGCCGTTTCTAGCTCAAGAACAACTATTGTTACGAACAATAATAACGTAAAAATCCCATACCATTATTTAAATAATGATCCTCAAATGACTAAAACATCTTTGCCAAATTACTACGTGTACGGACAACCTTATTTGGATTTTACAAATCCTATACAAATGTATTACAATTATTATCCAGGAAACAGATTGGTTAAGTTTAATAATAATTTCTTTGATTATTCCAATCATGTGAGAGCACAGAACCGTTTGAATGATTATAAAAAAGTCACAGCGTATTTAACAAGTTTAATGGACGCTGATAATTACGTTAATCCAAATGTTGTTCAAATTCTAAAAGGTGCTGATGAATTGAACTTATCTGAAATTAACAATTTCGATAGAAGACAATTAGTACAGATTAAAAAAAGTGATTTGGATTATTTAAAGAAATATATAACAATTATATTAAACCAATACGGAATGACTCCGTATATTTTTAAACTTTTGGAATATGTGAATCTACTTGACGGAAGATCTAGGAATGAAATATATTTAGTTTTCAAGATATTAAGTAATCAACAAGCTGTTTATGGTTTAAATAGAATTGAATCTGATCAATTGAAATCTCATTTACAATACATTATAAACGAATATGGTAAGAGCCCTTACATTTTACCATTCGTTAAAAACATCGAAGGAATACAATTAGAAACAAGAGGAAATAATCGTATACATATCTTTGATTTTGGCAATCTTGATCCATCGAGTCATTTAAATAGAGATTATATGAGAAAAATCTATTTACACCTATCCCAAATATATAACGGTAATCAAATTATATTACAAATATTAAAAAACATCAATAGAATATATGATAATCGTAACACAATGACGACGTTACTAAAATTAGATTTAAATGATTACAAAAATTTGTATTACATGAGTCAAAACGATTTATATCTTTTATCAAAATATATATCACAGATTCAAAAACAAAATGGCGATCATTCTTACCTTAATGAATTACTAATATATATAAATAAACTACAAACACTTGATAAAGAAATTAATATAAATATTATAAAAGATAATAATAATAAAATCAAAGAATTAAATCTAAAAGGTATATATCAAATACTATCAGATATTAATAAACAAAATGATTTAAAACCGGAAATAATTTTAATAATAAATCGATTAAAAAATATGAAAACTATCGCATTACATGATATGAATAAAATAATAAAAGATTTAAAATTATTAAAAGATTATTTGATACAAAATAAAATGTTTGAATACGATCAATTTATAATTAAAATTTTATACGAATTAAACAATATAATTAAAGATGAAGATCTACAACCGATAGAAGATAATGAAAAATGGATAAATATTAAAATTCATGATTTAAAATTAATTTATCAATATTTATTAAATAATGATCAGTTCAAAAACAATCCTTATATAATAGTTTTTGTTAACGAAATATTACAAATTATTGAACAAGATAAATTGAATCCAAACAAACATATTATTTATAAATTTAGATATTCTGATTTACAGAAACTATTTAATAATATACAACTTTATGAGAGAGATAAAGAAAATGCTATATACGTTATGATATTACATTATTTGGATCAAGATGAAGGAAATGACGATAGTACCAAACATAACGATGAAATCATACTTAACCCTGATTTGAATCTAATAAAAGAATATTTTAATGATAATCAGATTAATTTGAATATCATATACAAATTTTTATTATACGAAATTGAATCAGGGAATCAAAATGAAGCGGTACTAGAGTTATTACAATTAATAAAAAGAACGTTGTTATTACCAAACGGTGAACTTAAAATAAACGTCATAAATTTAAACGGAACGCAACCATATCGACAAATAACTAAAAAAGAATTACAACAACTTTATTTATATTTACAAAAACTTATAGAAGATAAAATAACAAGTGTTGATTTAATAGAATTTTATAGAAAAGAAAAACGAAAACATAAACTAAATATTGAAATATTTTATAACGCAACAAAGGAGTCTTTGAATAGACTAAGAAACTTTTTACTGATTTTAATCAGACAACACAGAGAAAATCCTTATCTTATCGAAGTACTAATAGAAATCAATCGTATATTAGAAATTCCCGATGATATGAAATACGAAATAAATAGTCCAAACTCTGATTTAAATGAAGAAGATTTGATTTTATTAATTGAATACTTATCTGTAATTAATTCAACCGACAAGAATACGGATCTAATAAAAATCATTGAATATATAAAAGATATTAGAGAAAAAATTATAAATGAAAATACTAAAGAAATGATTTATATTGATGCCCAAGATTTAGAACTAATATATAAATATTTATTAGGTAAAGATAAATTTTTAAGCAGTCCCTATTTATCTCTCTTTGTTAATGAAATATTGCCGCTTATACAAAAAGCTAAAAAATATCCATACGAAAATATAACATATAAATTCAATCGTAAAGATTTACTGCAAATTTATGATTTAATAATATCAGATGAAAAAGACAAAGAAAATCCTGTTTACATTAAGATATTGAAATATTTGGATCTAGATAAGAAAGAAGAAGATGATACCAAAAATAACAATGGAACAATACCAAATGTGGATTTACTTATCATAAAAAAATATTTCGGGGATCAAATTAATTTGGATCTTGTTTTCAAATTTGTAACACACGAAATTAAATCTGGTGATTCAGACGAATTGCTACTTGAATTGTTACAATTTATAAAGAGACATCTACTTTTACCAAACGGTCAGCTCAGAATAAAAATGATAAATTTAGATGAATCAGAACCAACCGAAGTAATTCAACCAAAGGATTTACAATCACTTTATTTATATTTACAAAAACTTATAAAAGATGAGATTATCAACGTTAAATTATTAGAATACATGAGAAGACAAAAGCAAAGAGAAAAATTGATTTTAGAAATCTTCTCTGATGTTACTCAAGAAACTTTGATAAGAATAAGAAACTATTTGCTAACACTTCTCAAAGATATAGGAGAAAATCAATTTGTTCTTGACATATTATATGAGATAAGAAACATATTAGGAATACCAATAAACAATGATGAACATGAAAATATATTAAACGGCACAAAATATAAATTAAACGAAGATGATATAAAATTAATTATAAAATATTTCACTGAAATCAATCCAGGAGACAATAGTGATTTTAAAAAGATTCTAAATTATTTATACGAAACACAAAATAAAATTTACAGTGAAAATAATACGAAAGGTAATTTAATTTACATAAATGTAAATGATTTAGAACAAATTTATGTATATTTATTAGACAAAGAAGTATTTATAAATAGTCCATATTTTGAAATATTTGTCAATGACATTTTACCGTTAATACAAAAAGGTAAATTAAATCCGTATGAAAATATGGCTTACAAACTTAAACATATAGATTTACAGAAAATCTTTAATTTAATAATATCACAAGAGAAAGACAAAGATAATCCTATATACAAGAAGATTTTGAATTATTTGGACATTTACGAAGATAATAATAATAATGGAACGACACCGAAAATCGATTTGCATGTATTATATGAAAATTTTGGTGAAAATGAAATTAATTTAGATATCATTTACAAGTTTTTGATACATGAAATTGACTCTGGTAATACAAAGGAAGAATTAACCGAGTTCTTAGACTTTATAAGAAATACTTTACTATTACCAAATGGACAGGTTAAAATTAAAATGATCTATTTTGATGACATTGAACTTAATGGACAAATACTATCGAGTGATTTACAAAGATTTTATATTTATTTAGAAAAACTAATAGAAGATGATAAGACAAGGATAAAACTGTTAGATTACATCAAAATAAATAAAGAAATATATAAATTATTTTCGAATGCTACAAAAGAATCATTGAATAGAATTAGAAACTTTTTGCTAATACTAATTAAAGAAGGTGGAAATAATCCATACATTGCTGAATTACTGGTTGAAATTAATATAATTCTAGGAATACCTGAAAGTAAAAATGATTATTTGTACGTATTAAACGGTACAAATTCCAAAATTAATGAAGAAGATTTAAAACTATTAATAAAATATTTCTCTTTAACAAATATGTCTGATAAAAACATTGACTTGACGAAGATATTAGAATTCCTATACGAAACTGAAGAAAAAATAAAAAATAAAAAAGAGAAAACCGACGAAAAATGGATATACATAAATGTTGATGATCTACAAAAAATTTATCAATATTTATTAGGCAAAGATACATTTATAAATAGTCCGTATTTAGTTATATTTATAAATGAAATATTACCATTCATACATAAAGCTAAACAACATCCATATGAAAATTTACTTTACAAATTAAAATATACAGATCTAAAGGAACTGTATAATACAATTCTATCACATGAGAAAGACAAAGAAAATCCAATATACATCATGATTTTGCAATATTTAGATGACGTTAAAGACGATACTAAAAACAATGAAGCAATGCCAGATGTCGATTTTAAAATATTGGATGAATATTTTGAAGATAATAAAATCAACATAGATATTATTTATAAGTTTATTTCACATGAAATAGAATCAGGCAGTCATAATAAAGAGTTATTAGATCTATTGCAACTTATCAAGAAAACTTTCTTATTACCAAACGGACAAGTTAAAGTTAAAGTTATCTATATAAATGGCACTGATCCTAATATACATCCAATTGATTTACAGAAACTTTATTTCTATGTACAAAAACTTATAGAAAATGAGGTATTAAGTATTGAATTACAAGATTGTATAAAAAAATATAAACAGAAAGAAAAACAAATACAAAATATTTTCATTAATGTCACTCCAGAATCATTGAATAGACTTCGTAACTTTTTAATATTCCTTACCAATGAGTTAGGAGATAATCCATTTATTCTTGATTTATTGTTTGAGATAAATCGTATATTAGGAGTTCCTGAAAGTAATAAGAAACATCCAGAAATTATAAATGGTACAAACTATGAAATAAATGAAAAGGACTTGAATTTACTTATAAAATATTTTACCGAAATTAACATATATGGAAAAAATAATGATCTTATTAACATACTTGATTTCCTTCGAGAAACTAAAGAGAAAATTAAACATGACGAAGATAAAGGAGATTGGATTTCCGTAAATGTTAAGGAATTGGAATTAATTTATCAATATTTATTAAGCAAAGAAAAGTACTTAAACAGTCCTTATGTTGAGCTTTTTATCAAAGAAATACAACCACTAATACAAATAGGAAAAGAGCATCCAAATGAAATTGTTATTTATAAACTTAGAGTCAAAGATTTATTGCAAATTTATAAATTCCTAGTATCTCATGAAAATGATAAAGGAAATCCAATATTTGTAAGAATATTACATTATTTGGAACATGTTACAAATACGAATGGAACAAATGTTGATATAAATATTTTAAATGAATATTTTGGTGATAATCAAATCGATTTAGACATCGTTTATAAATTCTTGCTGCATAAAATTAATATCGCTGGTCCAAACAATGTGTTAGTTGATTTATTAGAAGTTTTAAAAAGAATTCAATTACCAAACGGTGAACTTAAAGTTAAAATTATTAATTTAAATGAAACTGAACAGAAAGAAATTAATTCGAAAGATTTAAAAGAAATCTATTTGTATTTACAAAAAATAATACATGATAATACTCTGAGTACTGATTTATTAGAATATTATAAAAAGAATGTTGAAGAAAATAAAAAAATAATAGAAATATTATCGATTACACCAAAACAATCTTTGAATAGATTAAGAAACTATTTATTAGTTTTAATCAAAGAAGGTGATGGAAATCCAACTATTTTACAAATAATATTTGAAATAAATCGTATACTTGGAATTCCCGAAAATGACGACAAACAAAGAAATGATTCTAATGACACGAAAATGGATGAAAATGATTTAAAAATACTAGAAAAAACTTTATCAATAATCAATGGACCTGACGATATCGAAAAAATTATAGAAAAAATAATTGAAAATAAGAAAAAAGTTAAAGAAGAACAAGATAATACAAAAGAATCAAAATTATTTAAATCGTATGTCTTAGAAATTATAAACAACAAAAATATTAGTCCAGATTTAAAGTTTGTATTTGAATCCTTATTGGACATTGGATTCTACAGGTTAAATCAAAGCAGTGGATATTCAGAGTTCGATTTTATGCTACGTGAAGCTATAGCTAATTTCAGCCCAGGTGATTTGAATGTTTTGACTAAACATCTGCAAATGTTAATTAACAAATTTAAACCTATTTACATCGTTGAAAGATTGTTGCCTTATGTTAAAAAGGTAAAAGAGAATTATAAATACGATCATACAATTAAACAGATTAATGAAACACATCTCAATGAGACTGTTATTGTAAACATAACAAGACACGATTTAGATGTATTTAACAAATATTTATTGGAATTGATAAATATTTACGGTGAAAATCCTAATATAATGCATATAATATTCAAAATAAACAATTTAAAAGGTAAGCCCGGAACAGAAAATGATACAAACGCGATACCAACATTAAAAGTTGACGATATAAATGGAATTATAAAATATTTACTGGATATAATAAAGAAACATGGAGCAACGGTACAATTGATAAAGATATTAAGAGATTTTAGTGTACCACCAAAAGAAAGAATAGATGATTCAAATATAAAGATAATTCCTATAAATAATACACAAATATTAGTAACTCTTGACGATAATGATTTAGACAAAATAAAATCTTATTTAGTTCAAATAATAAACGACTATGGCTCCAATCAATATTTAGTGAACATATTAAGAGTTTTAAGTCCAAAGGGACAAGATGATTACAATGTGCATGATAATCAAGCCAATAATTATACATTTATAAAACTAAATCAGAAGGATTTAAACATATTGACAAATTACATTTTGAATTTGATAGAACAACAAGGTCCAAATGCGGAATTCATAGAAATTCTGTATTTAATTTATGAAATCAATCAAGATGTAAACGATAGTAATGATAATAAAAATGAACAGTACGTTCTAGAAATTTCTAAAGAACTTAAAAAGTTACGTGATAACAATATTATACAGATACTGAGAAATATGGATAGAAATACACTAATTAAAATATACATTGATATGTTGGAAAACATATTCGATACACCAAATATAAATAACGATTTTACAAATATTATGGTTAAACTACTTGAAATTTACAAGAAAGAAGATTCACCAATAAAGAGATACATAATACTTAAATGGTATGAATATTTAATTAGAAACAAAGGAGTGTCGTACAAAATCTTACGAAATCCTGATTTTATAAACAATTTATTGGAACTAGAAGACAATAATCGAAAAGATGAAGATGTTATTATAGTAAGTATTTAGTTGTCTTACTTCTTACTAACAATATAAATACTGATGTATAGATGAATGGATGGATGGATGTTTGTTCTCAACGGATCTCGATGAAATTTGGCATGACTGTAGAACATAGTCTGTAAAAACATATAGGGTACTAATTTACTTTTTATTTTAATTCTGCGCGGACGGAATCACGGGTGAGTGTAATTATAATAATAAGATGATATTAAATAATTCTGTCACCTTCCAAATCTAGATTTAGACTATTTAATGACTTTAATAGAAATTGGTGTTAATTGATCGCTTCCAGCCAAAAACTTTTAGGTTTGTGAAAAAGCTAAAGGTACTACTTTTATAGAGATAAATACATTTTGATATCATCATCAGCTCACTATATACGTCCCCAACGTGGGACTCGGAGCCTACCCCTAACCCTATGTTAAGGGTGATTAGGCCATAGTCAACCACGCTGGCCAAGTGCGGGTTGACTTCACACATATCTTTGAATTTCTTCTCAGATATGTGCAGGTTGCATCATGCAACATTTAGAATCAAATATAAGGCATGTCACTAACTTAATTAGAAAAGACCTTAATGTCATTTGCCCTTACCTTAGAGTACTGGCCGACTAAAATGCATTAAAATATTACTTTTCATGTTACAGACGACCGAGAAATACTCAATCGTAACGCCACATGACTATTCAGATATTGATAAAATATTAAGCGAACTCATAAACAATACTTTAAGAAGCAAACAACCAACAGACGATATATTAGAAGAAGATACCAGAAAAAAGAGTAATAGTACAGATGAGAGCAAACCCAAATTACACGATAAAATACGAGAGAAAGTACATAAAGCAAAATCTTGCTTAAGAACACATAGAAAATACAAAGATATCTCAAAAATGTTAAACAAAATAAAGAAATTACATCGACATCATCTAGATATTTCTAATGATGATATAAAAAGGATACTTGATATTATTTTAGTTTTTGGGCAACAATTGAAATACGAAAACCATAGAAGTAAAATACCGGCGAGTTTAGTTATAGATGAGCTAGAAAATAGACTACTATCAAAAGGTAAAGAATGTAAACAATCAGATACAGTAAAGCAAATAATTTCAACAGTTGTTGTACACTTACGAGATATCATTTCTTATTTAAAATCTGTTAATTTTTCAAAAGATGAAATAATGGTTATTGTTAAATCAACTCTAGAAGATGATATTATGCCTGATATTAAAGCTATTAGTGTTCAAGAATGTACTGCGGCAGCTAATAAGGAAATTTTAGATGCATTGTTATATAATGTTTTTGCAAAAACATATGAACAAGATGAAAATATAGAATTAATCAACACAAATAATAATGAATTAGAAAAACTATCGAATCAAAAGCTTTTAAAAGAGATATCTAAAGTTAAGAGTATGTCAACTTCGAAGGGAGAAACGAAGAAATAATCACCGATATAAATAGAATTTAAATTAATATAATAATTAAGAATAATAATAATTTTTAATAAACATAATATGTTTTTTTTATTTTTTCATATTTCCTTATATTATAAAATTACAAATAACTAAGTTGTAGATTATATAGAGAAAGGCGAAAGGCTCAAGGGTCAAGCACTTGACTTGCAATCTGCAGGTCCTGGGTTCGAATCCCGCCATGTACCAATGTACATATGTACATTTATCCGACGTTCTTACGGTGAAGGAATGCATAGTGATTCAATCTGCACAAGTGCGAACTCCACAAACCAGCACTTGGCCGGCGTGGTTGACTATGGCCTAGTCACCCTTAAGCTCCAAGCCGGGTAGGCTCCGAGCCCCTCGGTGGGGACGTATAGTGAGCTGATGATGAAGTTATAGACTAATAAAAGTAGTTTTAATATCGTCGGCGTTAGCTCTTACGTTAAATACTCCAAATAACAACATTTATGAATAAAAAAAGCTAATTTTCAGATTAAAACAAGTTACAATATTAAAGTTTATCTACAAAGCATTACATTCTTATATTTACTTTACTATTATATTTAGTGTCATACAAAGTTTATGAATACTCAGAATATCATACAAGAGTCAGCATAAAACACAATTTGCACGTATAAGCATGCGGGGATGCGGAACAGTGATGTCTCGTGGTTTCTGTTAAGACATTTTTAGACTATTCCCGAACACACACTAAGTTTGAATCTTTTTAATACTGCTGTCTTTGCCTTTCTTAATAATCTAATAATAAATAAAATGCTTTTAATTCATATGACTTTAATTTATTCCTATTAATATATGACTCACTATTAAAATAAAAAGCTTACAAAATGCCGATGGTAAGTAGTAGTTTCGCCTAGCATTTTCTGTTTCCAAATTTCATTGCGGCCCAAGGTCACGTGTACGCTGAACAGTGTCCTCCCCCCGCATCCCGCTACACTTAAACGTGTCCTTGCGCAGCGACTCGCACGAAGTTCAGGGCTGCCAACATATCTGAATAACGTTATACCATTACTAGCTGTTGTCCGCAACTCTGTACGCGAGGAATTAAAAAAATCTTAATAAGTAACCTATATGTTCTTGCAGACTTTACATCTATGCCTAGTTAGCGAGATCCGTTGAGGCGTTTTGGAGATACCTTCTAAGAAACATCCATCCATCTAAACTTATTTACAATGTTAGTAAGATTTGCCCAAGTTTTTTAGCCTTGAAATGTCAAATGACTTTCGTTATAATTAACAATTTCGAATTCCTTATATCGTCCTGTAGTTTTAATTGGTACTACTACTATAATTGGTATTTGTTTAACTTTTAATTTGTCAATAGTAATTACATGTCTTACTTCTCGTTAATGTAATAATTATCCAATAATTTCACAGTAACTAATTTGACTAGTAGTTGCTAATTTGACTACTTTTCTCGAGGAATGTTTAATTGATACGAAGCTTGAGAGGGAATATGTTGCTAAAATTGTTTGTACTTTTATCTTCGACATATCCTGTATTTACACAATATGAGGTAAGATTATAATTATCAATAAACCTTTTTTAAATGATACTTAGCTTTCTTAATTAAAAAAAAATCGGTTGTCTATTGTTTGTTGCTTTTACGTGGGTATTTTAAATGTATCCTAGAAAATTTGCTTTAAAATTTAAATTACACACATATTGATTTAGATTTTGTAATTCATACTGTAAACTACTTTCTCAAGAAGTTCTTGTAGATCATTAGGGGATTTTTAAATTCTTAAATTATAAAAAAAATTGTTAACTGCAAGAGTTTTCCGATAAGATGATAATTATTATGACACTTTTACATTTACAGATTGATGCCAACATTCCTATACAATTTACATCAAAAATCGAGGAGCAAAATCATGAGCAAAGAGGTTTTAATAATACTGAAGTAAGTTACATTTATTAGATAATACTTTTTTCGTTCCTACTTTATCGTTAATCTTATTGAATAGTTTTATAGTTAAAATTTTTTTCTTCTTTTTCCATAGAGCCTGGCAACACCATCGTATAATCAACCAACTACATTATGTCCTGCAAACGAAGCCTTGATCCAAATTCAAAATATACTCACGAAATTATTGAATGAAGATGAAAATAATTATGAACATTTAAACGTAATGGATATTCAAGGAAATAGAGTTTTTAGTAAAGAATCTCCTATAAATTTAGAAAAAGAAATTGAAAAAGTACTTCCACTATCTAAAGGGAATACTTTAAGACAATTACTAGACAAATATCATTTAAATAATAATTATAAAACAAAGATAACAGTACAATACGAAATACCAAATGAACCTAACCTCAATTGTAAAGAAGCTCTTTTAAATATCCTTCAAGTTTTAAAGAACGCGAATTTAATGCACGAATCTTACCGCTCCTGTGGACCATATGATATTAATTGTGAAAAGGACAATGTATTAGATATGAAAAACGTAGGCAATCAAAATGTATTCACGACAAATATAAATCAAGGAAATAATAATTACCTATCAAATATGATGAATACACAGAAAACAACAGATTCAAATTTATTTGCATTTGGGGATGATATAAATGCAGTTTTAAAATATCTCGCATTGAAAAGGAATCCCAATTTGAATTCGATATTTGAAAATTATGAAACAAAACAGAAAAGTTTCAATGACATTAAAATCCCGCAGAATGTGCCGGAATCAATGAATAAATTGACACAAGGATTTAATATGAATAGTACTGAGTTTGTTGAAAATAAACAAACAAATTATTCACATAATAGTACACCTTACAAATTACATATAACAGAAAACATTGTCCCATCTACGAATCTAAATGCGATGAACCAAAAGCTAAACATAAATGAAATTTTAGCTGAAAATACCATATCAGTAACACAAATACCTTTGGAGAATAATAAAAATCAAGTATTTTATGTAAATGAAAAAGCAGACGATGTTCTTGTAACAGTAACAAATGATGGAAAGATAGTTTCCGTGTATCCATCAAATAACAATTTATTCGAACAAGGAGAAAACAATATAGTAACTGATAAATTTCTTTCAAATGAGGCTAATGTACAAAACAAAGAAAGTGTAGCGAGACATGTTAAAAATCTTTTGAGTCAATATATGCAAGGAGATGTTAATAATATCCCTAAAGATAAAATGAACGTATTACTAGATATACTCAAAAAAGGATCTAAAACGCGATATCCACAAGAAATACTAAATGTAAATGAACACTTAACACCGTATTACTTAAATCCGAATCTCATTCCAAATATAAGTCAATATCCTATGACTTCAGATGTAACTAATTCCATACGTCAATATGAAAATAAAGAAGGGCTAAATGACCAATTGCATGCAAATTTAAACGTTTTCAATCAGATTACAAATCAGGATCTGTTAAATCAAAATTCAGCCAACAAACAATACGTCACTGGAAATCCGTACGTCAATTCTAAATTAGTTGATTATGAAAAACATGTAAAGGAATTGCACGCGCCTTACAATTTAGACAATTCGCAACGGTTTATAACCGATACTAATCAAGGTAAATTGAATTTTACACCCGATAATTCCGGCGTCGTGGAATTAACTTATTTGTTAAAGCGACCTCATCCAGTTATATACCAACCTGTATATTACGTAAAGTATCGATTACCTTACGATTCATTCGTGAACAATCTTCGGGATTTAGTCCGAAGACAGCCACAACTGAGATCCAATCGAGCTAAATTGTACCAAGAATTACTATCTTTATCTAAAGTCGCAGACCTATCTCCAAATTTAAAAGGATTGGGTCAACAAGAACTATTACAAATGGTAGCTAATAATGGTGCCTTAGTAAAGACTAAAGTTTTAAAAGTGAACGAAACACTATTGGATAAAGAACCAAAGCCTGTTCAAGATTTAAACTCAAATCTATTACCACAGGAAATAAATAACGAAACATATAAAGATGAGTCCAATGGTGTTGGTACAGCTAACTTGTTAAATAAAACGATAAAAATTGTATTGAATAAAACCAAAATTGAAGAGTTAGAAAACATTGAAAAAGCTAAACTAACTCAATCGAATTTGAGTGAAGACATTTATAACACGTATCAAATGGCGACAAACAAATACGGTATAAGTACAGATAAGAACCCAAGTAACTCAATGTATCCTCTCGTATAATTGAAATCCTATTGAAATTTATTTAATTAAAGTTTCAATAAATAAAATTTATCACAAGTAGATTGTCTTTTAGTTTTCAAATTTAATAATACACTTATTACGTACTTTAAGTTTCTATTCCCCCTATCTATCCTGATCCATATTAGAATAGTATCTAGATCTATGTTGAAATAGCCCGACCTATTTCAAATATGATGGGTTCAAATTGAAGGCCCTTAACCTAACCTTAAAATATTATTGCTATATCTAATTTGTGGATTCTACGTTTTTATTTATTTGAGCCCTCACAAAGCAGTTATTAATTTGCACCATGATAAAAAAGTAATAAATGAAGACTTTTGACTTTTATGTACTCTGTGCCGTTGACTGTTTTTGATTTGACAGGCTCAAATGGACAAGAACCCGGAGCTTTAAAGTGTTAAAAAGTTTTTGACAGTTTGTGATAACGATTTGTCAAAACAAAACGAAGTAAAAAATAACCTACGTTTTTAAAGTGTATTTGTGATTTTAACAAAACAAAAAGAAACTTTAATGATTTATGTAATTAATTATCTTTTAATATGCTTGGACAAAAACCAAAATTTATTCGACCTGGTATGTATATTCATATGTAAATGTTCAAATATAACACAACATTTACAATAATAAAGCCTTTATTTTTATTAAATTCTTCTTTTCAGGTGATGACACTCTTTACCCGATAAGGAATAGAGATGGTGTCATAGAGACGTTATTAAACCCAAGTGTAGACGTAGCATTAACAGTGGATAGTGATTCAAAAAGTAATTTCGTATATAATCGTTACCATCATTTACCTTTAGACGCACAAAGACAGAAATTACCTGTATTCCAGTACAGAAACCATATACTGTACTTATTAGAAAAGTATCAAATTTTGATATTGATCGGAGAAACAGGATGCGGGAAGTCAACACAAGTTCCTCAGGTAAGTTTATTTATTTCTTGCCTTAATAATTATACTTCAACATTTTAAAACAACACTCATGTGCTTCTATTATAAAAGACAAGCAAGCTAATGATTCTAAATACTGTTATTTTTTACTTTGGGACTCAGTTGTACAAAAATATAATGTTATCTTAGATTTTTTAAACATTATGAAAGTAATGACAAAATATGTAATCCATAGATTTGTTATGTACTATATAATTGTTGTTACTGGATGTAGGCGGCACAGGATCTTGCATTGTGGCAATTGATGTTGGAGGCCTACTTCTAGCAGTGGAAGAATTTAGGCTGATTATGATGATGATACAATTATTTCATTACCATTGAAAAAAGAAATTAATAAACATTATATCTTATCTGAGTCTCTGGAAAATATGTAGTACAAACTAGTTAAATATTATTTATATTAAACCTATTTGAGTGAAAATAAAAAGAAAAAAAGATTTTAAGGTTAACTTCACAACTACAAAGTTTTAATTTTATCATTGAGGTTTAATAAGTGGAATTTTCTTATATAAACTCTCTTAACACTCTTAAAAATATAAAAACATGTCCTGCTTTGCAATTCATAATGGATTCAACAGCAAAAATTTATTCAACTACTAAGAGAAGGTGTTAACAATGGATGTTTTTGTTGGAAGCGGAACGGGTGTCTTTATACTGTTGCGGTAACCTTATGTAAACATGATTGTCAAAGGAAACTACTTATAAAACATGTTATATGTAATTTCCTGTATTAACTTTAAACAGTTGATAATATTTTTCTCTAATGTCTGAAATAACATATAACCTTTATGTTATTTGAAGTGTTTTATGTTATATCTTTAAATGAGCAATTCTTGTAATCTTTATATATATAATTCTTCTGTGCGTGTGTATGTCACTGAACTTCTCTTAAACGACTGGACCGATTTTGATGAAATTTTTTGTGTGTGTTCAAGAGGACCTGGGAATGGTTTAGATTCACAATGTTGTCCGCCGGACAATGTTTTTTTGATTAATTTTTAATTTATTAGTAGTTGTTGTTTTTGGAATGTATCACATTGGATCCGACAGACGGCGCTACCATCGCAGTGTCAAATTTTAAATAATATTCAAATTAAAGACGTGTAGACAGGACAACGTCTGTCGGGTCCGCTAGTATATATATAATTGGAATGTCGAAATCGGCTCCAACGATTTTCATAAAATTTAGTATATAGGGGGTTTCGGGGGCGATAAATCGATCTAGCTAGGAATCCTTTTTAGAAAATGTCATTTTATTCGTGTTTTTTCGATAACCAACTTAAACATAAACTTAACTTTTTCTATCGGTAAGATCGAAAAATATTATTCATAATTTCATCATTTTATTAGTAATTCGTACTTATATATAATTTCCAAAAAACACAATTAAAAAAAATACCGAGCAAAGCTCGGTCATCCAGATTTTTAATTTTATGCTGGCTATATCTCATGTATCAAAGTAATGGAAACTTTGAATTACATTTTGTGTCAGATTAATATTTTTCTTGGGAAGGATGAATGTGTTCTGTTAGTCTTGACTGCTTGAACCCTAAAATGTCTGAATGAATTTGTATCATGTAGTTTATACTCTTCATAGTATACAACGCCATCTAGTTTAAAACGTAGACAATTTAGTGTTAAATATAAAACTTTGCTTCTTTAATTTTTTATCTTATTAATAAAATTACGACTTGCAGTGGTTCGGATAAAGCGAACGCAATGGTTAAATTATTTAAATCGTTAAATTTAACGTAACTCAAAAGTTTATATTGGATATTTCAACTTATGTACATGTAAGCATAAATACGCAAAAAAAATTGTAAAAAAAAACACTACATAAATACGTAAGTCGAATACAAATATTCATAAAGGTTAAAGTAAGTTTTTGTAAAGATTTTTTCGACCAAAAGTCGAAATAGAATGCTATATTCCATTCGCATAATCTTGTCTTAATGTCTTCGCACAATTTTCTTAATACCTTGGACTTATGCATTCAAAATTTTAAAGACCGATAAAGACCTAACCTAACCTAACCTAACCTTAATTTGAACTTACATACGCGCCAAAAACAATACACTAGGAAAAAAAAGAAAAATGGCACGAAAATAAGATGATGACACCGGATCTTATAGTATCACGCTGACGCATTGATATGCTGCAGTTCATCTAGGCCAACAACTTTTATTCTTCAAACTTCATGACCTAGACTAAACAAACGAGTCGTTACTGATATATAAAATGCATCACACACACATAAAAAAAGGTAAAAGCCAATATTAGCCTACGTTTAAAACTGGTTTACTTTCTATTATCGTGGTTAGGAATATCGAAAATATAAATAGTATATGTAGTTTGACTGCGACTCCTCTTGTTAAACTGTTGTTTTGGCGCCAAACGCCTATTGTTTGTTCGTTGCGTCGCTCCTCGTCGCAGTGAGGCAAACGCTCTCCAGACGTACAGCCAGCAAGCAACCAAAGCCAGTTCGCCAACAGCGCGGCTACTGTGCGCACGTGTTTACCTGTTATAAACAACTTCTAAAGAAATCTTATCGAACTGTGTAAACATTGTCACTGAATCAAGAGTTTTATGAAGTTATTTTTAAAATTCATTATGAAATAACACAAAACGAATCGTACATTTGAAGTTAAAAAGTATTGTGTGGGGCGTGCTGTTTTTGATAAAATATCCGTCCGTTCCGTCAATGGTCGAATCGATTTTACGAAGAGTCGTGCCGCAGTATCGAGGAACTTGAAGGCTTGTTTGGATTGTGTTAATGTGAGAAACGATTTCAAGAATCGATGTGGATGTGTGAAGTGAAATTTAGTTTTTAATCGACTGACCAGTTTTAATGATTGTGGTATCATCGTATGGTAGTTTATTTATAATACTCCGTCCGTATCCCACGCCTCTACTAAAATAAAACTCTGTTTTAAGTATTATAAGATCATGTAATGTGTTCATCGTCCTATAACAAATCTTTCGCTCCGGCTGTAAGCTGGAAGCCCTATATTTTCTATTTATTTCGAGTGCGTATAAATCGACCTCGAATAGGATTTGACGCAACCAGTTATAGTTTATTTTAATTCAAAATGATGTGGCCTTCGTCGCAAGCCAGTAAAATTCTAACCTTTCTTCTGTTTATTACTATCCTATATTGCATTTGTATGGATACATTCTTATTTTTAAGGATACAGAATTATAAAATAGATATTTACGATGTTCCCGAAAATGCAACTCAAGAGACGTCAACACAGAAGTATACACAGTTAGAGAATTACGAAGATGTGACGTGGGTGCCTTGCCGCATTAATCCGTTATGTCATCCCACGGTCAAAGCTTTGATGGTGGATCATATCAACCATTACATTTACGGCCCTTTATGTGCTATAGTTGATATAGGATTAGGTATATCAGAAACTATGCTATTTATAACACCTAATATAATTTCCTTCTTCCATGTTTTTGTTGCTTGTGTTGGAGCTAAGCTTATAACATGTCAGAATTTAGCTGTACGTCGTTTGGCGGTGGTTCTATTTCAATTAAGAATGTTTTTGGATGATTTAGATGGGCATGTTGCTAGAGAAAGAAAGCATATAAAGGGCGAGAGGTCCGAAGTGGGCACACTGGGTTACTGGGTTGATGGAATTTGCGATTTATTGGGTGTTATAGCTATGATGGTCGGTATATTACTTTATTTGAAAAATAATCCACCAAGACGTGGGTACAAAGGTACCCCAGTAAGTACTTTACCATACCATCAGTTGAAAGAGATAAATACATCTGAAGATATAGAAAAAGAGCATACCACAGAAGTTGGTATTTCTTATAAGACTAAAGTAAGCTTCCAAAGGATAGTTCAAGTTTTGGGATTGTTTTCTGGACAGATGATGCTATCTTCGATCGCTTGGAACCGTTATATAGACGTATACCAAGATTTGCTTGAGAATTGTACGGAATACGACGTATTCAGAAGAGCGACCATGTTCAAATCTGGTCTATTCTTCTTCGCGACCGCTCTATGGAGGATTGTGAACCCACACAGTTACCTTCATCTTCTTTCCCTTGCTGTATTCTGTGATAAAACATGGGGTTTCCTTAAAACTGTACATTATAGTGGGTATATCTGTCTGGTTATAGCTGTGGCCACATCAGAATATTTGGTGGAGAATATCAGATCGTATGTTGTAAGTTAGGGCACACGGCCGTGAACCGTAAAGTTATTGGCACACTGGTGTTTATGTATTGATTGTGTTCGTACCAAATGTAAAATCCTCTTTATAGTCTACAATTTTAAAATATATTCGAAGCTTTTGATAAGGAATAAAACACATGATATCGGGTGGCGTGGTTTCGTTGACTTTGACCTTGGATAGTACTACGAATGCGTTCGATATCGTTCGAAACGAAGCGGTTTTTTAAACGGTATATCCGAATTATTTTGTTGCAATTAGGGTACGGACTATTCAAGGGGAATTCCCTTGTTGTCTATCATTGTTGTTTTTAGCCTCGTGTGGTCACTATCACTTCCAGATAATTTCCGGGATGTATCTTTATATCTAAATAATAAAATAGTTGTATTATACTGATACTATTAACAATGTTGTTTTAACAAGACTTTTAAGATATAAAGGCTTTATTTTTTAATTGTTACGAGTTCTTTTTCTTATCTTTACCTACTCTAGTTAGGAAAATGTGAAAAGGAAATTTAGGACATAACATTAGTTTGATATCATATTCTTGTAATATGGAATTTACATGTACGAAATTGTCTAAAAATTTCGACGTCACTTTACGTCTAGGATTCTATCGCACATAACTGATATAAATACCATAGGTTACTTAGTTTGAATATCTGATTGAATTATAGGTAGGTACGATTCCCTTGGTGGCGATTTTTTATATTTTACTAGCCTTACTAAAATGTCGACGTTTACGTCCCCTCACTAATCATTCTGACATTTGATTTAGTAACGAAAGCGCGTTATTCACGCCAAAGGATTCTAACTAATAACGTCTAAAATCATGAACCACAATCAATACTTAAGCTCAGTGTGCCTACACCCTAAATATGTCCGATTGTAAAACATTTTGTAATTGTGATAACAGATCCATCCGGTGTGTATGACAAACATCCCAAACATTTGATCCAACATTGTTATATAGTTTATAGTATAGAATTAAGAATATGTCCATGTTTATCATCGTCGAATATTTGTGATATTAGATCCATTGTGCCAATGTATAATATTTGCGATGACGCTAGATTGTCGACTGATTTTTGTGTAGAATCACTGAGATTCGTCCCAGCAAATGTTTGTTCCAATATTTGGATTGTAAAGTTACATTAGAAAGGTTTGCCGTTCGTCACAAATTGTTGAATACTAGAATTCCATTCTAGTGACACTTGAATAGGCTTGTGTATTAAATTTAAAAAAAAATATTTAAATCTCCAAAACAATTTAAGATTTATTAAAAAAGAAAAAATATTTAAAGAAAAAAATTAATAATAAATTGTGTATTTTGTGTTTTCAAAATCAGTTTAAATTCCCGCAAAGACGAGACAAACTGTCATGGCGTCTTTAGTGACGTCACGCCATGTAGAGTAGAATCGTACCTCAGTATGGTGTTGTACTGAATTTTGAATTACGAAAATATGTAATAAAATGGCACCGTCCACGGAGTGACGTCACAATTCTGATTGTTTCGCGTTAAATTTGGACTATTTAAATTTATAAAAATATTATTAATTTTAATTTATTTTAATAATAATTATGGTTATCGTGTGAATTGTTCATCTAGTACACAAGTCAATAAGTTATGTTAGATTTATATTGTCAACCTTTTCATTCTCTTTGACAAAATAGAGACGGCAATATATAAATGTCATAGCAGTTGAATTCTTAAGTAATGTCTGTGATTTTAAATATCGAATGTTAAAAACAGATATGTGAATTGTCTATGGTTTGTGAAGTTTATGATTGACCAATGAGAAATTGTTAAATGTTGTTTATTTAAATAGTTGCCATATATGTCTACCGATTACCGAATTTCATCACAAAGAAAAGTTAATAATTTGTTGTAAGAGATAAATAATTGATTTAAAAATATATAATATATTTCCATATGTTTGGTTATTTTATTTAACATCTTAATAAAGACAAAATATACATAATTTGTTCTGAATGAACTCATTTTTTTTTTGGTTTGTTTTTAAACTTTATTGAATTAACATCGTAGCGTTTTGTCGTGACAAAAGTTTTTTTTTTATCGAATCTAACAAAAAGTTGCTCCAATATTTTATAACTATACTATCAAGGTCGTTAACAAGGTTCTTTTGTTCATCAAGTAACTGTGAACTGAATGTCATTTTATTTGTGTATCTGTGCTAATAATATAAAAATAAAAGATTTGTTTTTTTTTATATGTAACTAATAAACTCAAAAACTACTTTACCGATTTCATTAATAAGGGACATAGATTTTTTTATTTCAATTCCGCTCGGTTAAGTAGCATTTAAAATTATTTTAATTGGTAATAGAGGTAATATTTTTATTTTTGTTTATTTGTAACGAATAAACTCAAAAACTACTACACCTATTTCAAGTTCTCTCATCGTGACAATGTTACATTATCGCTAAGTAAATATTCACACGAACGAAGCAGGGATGCGTGACTAGTATTCTTCAAATTAAATGCTTTTAAAATTTAATTTATTCTATTTGTAGTCGTTGATTTTTATAAAACAGGAAGTAGTGTGGTTTGAATTAGAGATACCAGATGTGAGAAAACAAGTTGGCCTTAATAAACATGGCCTTTATTTTGTTACTATGCGGGATGTTGAAGATTTTGACCTTTGCCAGTGAAGATTTACTTATTATATTGTTTATGGTAATTAATTCATACCATTATCTTGATAAAATGTAAAAAGGCATCATTAAGAGATTTGAGATACAATTCTTATAGTCTTAGGCCACTCGTAGACAAAGCGATGTAAACGAAACTTGAAGATCTTAATCGCTAGGCGATTTACGCAGTATGATGTCATAAAGGTTGACATAATGGATGTGAGAGATATCGCTGCGACTTTTTGTAAATAAACGACAGCCGTGTAGTCGCTATGCCTATACTGACCGGATAGACAACTCTCGTCGACGATTCATAGTTGTGTGTGCGTTGCCTTGTGCACGAAGAGCCTTAATCGCGTGTCCAATATTTACAACACTGCTACTACTGCAAGTAGTAGACGCTAGTCAGTGGAAAAAGAGTTTTATTCTATGATAAACTCGGGAACAATGGTCAATAAATATGCGAAAGCGGTTCCCCATTATCATATCGAGTTATCAAGTTCGCCAACGGTCGAGGTCATTGACCTTACAAGCGTACATCGCCTCATTTTGTATATTTGACTTCTAATTACTTACAAAAGAAGATTTGACTTTATATCTACTAGATTTTATAAGCGTCAATAGCCTAATGGTTAAGGGTACGGATTTCCGATCACGAGGTCGGGGGTTCGAATCCCGCCATTCGACTATTGTTGTAAACCATATCCTAGCACAAGCATAGAGCTTAGTTGGAATGGTAAAAGAAATATTAGTAAATTTACTAAAAATGTCCTAATATTAAAAAAAAAATTTAAACTATAATTTGTTGAAACACTTCTAGGAAAAGCAGGTTATTTTTATAGTGTAACTGTTTAAATTCGAGGTACCAGGCTAACATAACTTTGTATGACGCGGCTGCAGCCAGAAATTTGCTTACTCATATGAATAAGCTTAGACAGTAAACATCTATGCGTTCCTGGTGCACCAATTCGAAGAATATCAACCGCTGATGATATTGTAAAGGATGGTCAGAAAAGATACTAGTATGAATTTATGGTTCTTGACGGCTCTTAAGGTTGCGCGAGTCGCTGCGCAGAACACAATTTTAGGTGTGTTGGGGCGTAGCGGAATGCACTGCGCAGCGCGTAGACGCCGATGACCTTGAACCGCCCAGATATTTGAAAATACCAAAGTCATTTTAACCTAAATGTAGATAATTTTGATTGTAAAGCGGATTTATTTCCACCAAAAAGCTTATTTTATCGACTCGATTCTTACTTTCATTTATAAAGATTTGAGACGATTATCATTAACCTACTTTCTAATTGTAGACTTTGAGATGTTTTTTTGTCTTTAAATATTGTGTTTTAATGATGGTAAATGGGTGTTGGTTTCGTAATTTGATGAGTGTTACGAACACGTGTTGTGTTGATGACCTAATGACACGTGTAGGAATCATGTATGGGAGTCGCGTAGTAAGGGAGTAGATTCTGTCTGACATTATACATTTTATTTACTTAAGTGGTGATATTTTCAATAAGTATATGTATATTATTTGATTTGCAAAAAAAATATTAAATATTTAAGAGGCCGAATATATTTTTTTTTGGATAACGAACCACTCTTGGTGGTTAAATTTTGGTCATCTTAATTTAAGTCGTTATTACTTTTGAAATACATTAGTATGGAACTTTGAAATATTCACACAGATTACAACGACGTAGTACTGTGATCTGTCTTTATTAATAGTTTTTCGACGCCACGTGTCTGTCGAATGAATCGTTAATGTTGCCAGTGTAAGGACGCTTCCACACTGTAGGGAAGATTTTAAAACGGCGACAAAGTAACCTGATTCAACTTTTTATAAATAAATCAGGTAGTTCGTTCAATTTTAAGTGCTTATTCACCCTAATGTTGCTATTGCCTTATTATTTCATAAGTGAGTTTCAACAGATAAAGAGTTTAGAAAAGGACAATATCAAATTGCATGCTATGGTAATTAGCCTAAACGCATTCGCAATTAGACTAAATTTTCCTGAATTCTACTACACTGTTGTAGTTTCTCGGACCTGCTTGATTTACTTACTAATATTTGAGGACCCTAAACAATAATAAAGAACAAAGCAAACATGTAGTATGCATAAATTTATTTCAACCTTCAATTGCCTAATCAGAGAAGCATTGTATGCATACATAATTAAAATATTTTTTTCGTCGTCTGCTGACTGACGTCATTTGTATTAATAGTTGTTAAAGTTAAAATAAAGCTACAGTTAGATAAATGGAACAGAGTAAATATGAAATCTAGAAAGTTAGAAACATTGCGTTTTTAACAGTCGAATTCGACTACGTGACAATTCTATTCATATTGTTGTCAAAGAGAAGGAAAGTGATGACAATATGACATATGTCACATATAACATGACACAACCGAAACCAACAGAAGAGCGACGCATAAATTCTAGTATAGTACTTTTCAGATATCTTAACCGCTCTTAAACTTCATTTGAGTTGCTGCGCTGAACATAATTTTAGGTGTAGCGGGATTCGGAAGGAGGGAGGGTACCGCGCAGCTCGCACATGACCTTGGGCCACCAAGATATTTGAAAAGAACTACAATAATGTTACTACATTTAGTATTTTAGTATGCTTTAGCATCAATTTGTTTTGGGCTGTCCGAAACAAAATGACACATTTGCGATTTGCGGTTTCCTTATAACTTTTACTTTATTATATTCATGTAAATAAATTGATAAAATTGTTTTTTTTTAATTAATAATAGGTATTTAAATAAGTCTTGTTTCTTGACAATTTCTTTATTTTTAAACATTTTTGGTTATTTTTTAAAGTTGCTTTGAAATATAATAGTTGTTGGTCAAACAGAATAGAATATTTTACACTTTTATAAATAAATCAACAAGAAAAAATTCTACTATAAAATAACTTAATATGTTTTCAATTTATTTTGGGTAATTTTTAAATGACATCAGGCAACACTGCTATGTGTTTTGAATATTAATGGGGTCACTCCCGGAGAGTATATTAGAAGAAATAAAAATAATATAGAGTTAAAAATACATTATACCGTTAACATTCAGTCGAAGTTTTACAAAAACTTTTCTTGTTGTCTACACACGGACAACTAAGTCAAAGAATTAAATTCACTTCCCACTTGTATCGAATGTCATACGAAATGTAATATAGTATTTATCTAGTGGCAAACGAGCGAACGGCCACCTGAAATCGCTGAAATAGCGAAGTGACAGTTGCCCATAGATATATGCAATTGCATATGCGTTGCCTACCTTTGATCTACAAATGAGAGGATGCAGAGTAAGAAAATATTTTCCCCTTCCATGCATCCTCTCATCCGGAAAGTCCACTACCACTTCCTATCGTTTCCTTTTAAGAAAAAAGGTGGGAAGGGAAAGAGGACTAAATTAGGCCTCAGGGACGCAAGTAGGTGGCAGCATCGTTAAGAGTCCGCTGTCATCTCAGCGCTAATATTGCAAAAATCAAATAAGCACAAAATACTATAACGTATAGCCAGTCCATTTACAGAGGCCACTGCATTTCATCCACATTGGTAGTAAATAAACGTCACCACAATTTCAAACATATTGCGCACACAATTTTTAATAGTAGTATTATTTTAGCTTTGTCATTGTGATAAAAATCCAAAGACAATCTGTATAATATATTATAAAAGAAAGTCGTGTTAGTTAAACTATTTATAACTCAAGAACGGCTTTACCTATATGGCTGAAAATTGGTGAGGTGAGCTCAGAGCCAGGCGACGGACATAGGATACTATTTATTCATTTTTTTTTAAATTTATGCCTTGAAGAGCTGCTTTCATTTAACTTACTAATATTATAAATGCGAATGTTTAGATGGATGTGGATGGATGGATGGATGGATGGGTGTTTGAATATATCTCTAGAACGGCTGAACGGATCTCGATTGAATTTGGCATACGCATAGAACAAAGTCTGAAAGAACACATAGGCTACACTAATTAAGTTTTTTTATATATCCACGCGGACGGAGTCGCGGGCGACAGCTTGTGTCTAATAAAGAAAGCGATGTTCGGCAAGTCATCACAAACAAAGTGATCAAGACTTGTTACAGATATTTCAGTTATCTCGTGTTATATAGCTAATTGTTTGCCAGATAAACTCAAAAACTACAATACAAGACAGAGCGAATATGGAAGGCTTATGGGTATTACGATTGCCAAAAAAAACGTAATCTTAACTCCTTGTGGGGTCGGCATACCAAGTTTTGTCATCTAGATCTATCTATTGACATACATTCGTCACTTCAATCACCACCTTAAACACAATCCATCTTGTCCTAGACCTTTAAAAGCGTATCAAATCCATATAAAGAAATAGTGTTCTTTACATTTACCTTTTCTTACATTAGCATTTGCCTGCGACTCTGTCCGCGCGGAATTTTAGACAAAAAAAATCAAGTAATAAATACTGCATATCTCATCCGGGGATAATATAGCTTCCAATCAGTGGAAGAATTTTTTAAATCGGTTCAGTAATTTTGAAACCTATTCAATGCAAAACAAACAATTAAATCTTTCCTTCTTTTTATATTACTAGCTACTGTGACCCGCTTCTAAACTAGTAAGCTATGTTTTCTTCCAGACTATGTTCTACATCTATGCCAAATTTGACCGAGATCCGTTAAGCTGTTCTGGATATACCATCTTATGACCATCCATCCATCCGTAAAATTATTAGTTTAAATGTAAGTGAAGTTATTTAAAATTGGTACTTTTTACTATCGAATGTTGTTTTAAGACTCTAAAATATACTATCATTTCAAAATAATATTTACTAAGCAATCAATTGATTATTACACGGTTTGATATCACAAGATTACGACCACTTGTAACATCGCGATTGTAACGTAATCGACAGATTATGAATGAAGTGGACACCTGCTGTACTAAACTATCCTCGTATTAAAAGATTCAAACATTATGAGCGCTCGGGTTTAACTCCGAGCATGTACGAGTATGTGCAGGATAACGAGCAATCAAAAGATGTCTCAGACCCTTCGTACATAAGGCAACACAAATCGTCGAAAGCAATATTCTATGGTTGCGTTGCTTTAAAGCGATTTAAATCCGTGGAATTACAATCCTCATCGGCGATTCGGTCAGATCAATTGGTTTATTATCTTGAAGATTGTAGCGACTTGTCTCATGTCGATCTTGACAAACAGTGTGCGACAGTCTTTGGCAATGACAGATAGACTAAAATCGCCGGTTTTAGAAGATTTATGTTGAATTGTGTACGAAGGATCAACAGGTCCTTCGTAAACAAAGGACGAGGGCGAGATCAACAGATAACGCTCTCGCCCGCGACTCCGAGTTAAAAATAAATGAGTACTTAATATTATTTTGACTAGAGATTGCCTAGATGGGTTCTTTGGGGTGTTCAGAAGATCTGATGGAGAAATAAAGTGGTGAGTTCACAGTTTAAGGAGGAAAGGTGAAATTTTGAATTGTTCTACGAGTGAAGAAATTATGAAGCTGTGCCTAATTAATAGGACATTCATTTGGGGTCAGACTAATTAATCAGACTATTGAGGTACGGATATTTCTAATTCTGATTGTACTGTGTCTTGGTATTATTTTTAAATACAATGTAGCACTGTACCTACTAACAATACGTTCCACGTCGCCGAGCAATAAGGGCATGGACGCACTGTCATGCCTTGCGAAGTTATCTGACATTTACTTACGGTAGAAATCAATATTCAATCTTTACGATCGATCTAACGATAATTTTACTTTGCAAGAAACAGAGTATACTAGAATTATTATATGTTCGACTAACTATAAATATACATATAAATAATAAAACTTTGCTTGTACTTAAAACCAATTTACAAAAAATTATCTGTCCGCAAGCCGGGTATGTTATGGGCAATCTCGGGAACGACTGGACCGATTTTGTCGGGACTTTCACTGGAAGGTAGATGATGTTTTCGGATATATTGCAGCTTATCCTATTTTTAATTCTGCACTGACGAAGTCGCGGGCGATAGCTAGTAGATGTTTTTCGACTGCTATTGCGTTTTTTACATTAGTTAAATTTGAACTAATTAGATAAAATGTTAATTAATTATACCACGGATAAGCAACGGAGAGCGTCGGTGGCTCAGTGGTCAAGCACTTGACTTGCAATCTGCAGGTCCTGGGTTCAAATCCCGCCATGTACCAATGTGTTTTTCGATTTACATATGTACATTTATCCGACGTTCTTACGGTGAAGGAAAACATCGTGATGCAACCTGCACATATCTGAGAAGAAATTCAAAGGTATGTGTGAAGTCAACCAACCCGCACTTGGCCAGCGTGGTTGACTATGGCCTAATCACCCTTAACTTAGGGTAGGCTCCGAGCCCCTCGGTGGGGACGTATAGTGAGCTGATGATGAAGCAAATGGTACGATATTCTTATTTGCATCTAATTGCATGGAATAAATAAAAAAAGCATTATTGCATTCGTAGGGATAAATCTAAGATGGTGAAAGATTACGTTCTATAGGATGAAATGCGCTTTCACTCAGAGTGGAATTTAAGCAGGGACATAATTAACTATGAGAAAAAAAACACGCTCAAACGGCAATTTACGTGGGACTTTATCAAAGTCTAGGTATGCAGGTGGCATTGTAGATTCAACGGTATAATCGTTATATGATTCAGGGCTATTGTGTGCCAGCTCTTCCATAAAAACTGGAGTGTTACCGATAAGATTACGTATAATGGAAACGCGTTCGATATTGCACTTTTAATGTTTTATATTATATATTTTTATATTATAAGTTGGCAAAGGGGCAAGCGTCTTGCCTACCTTTAATCGACGGAGGAGACGTACAGAAAGAAAATATTTCCCCTTACTATACATCCCCTTCGCCATCAAGACCACATCCCCTTCTCATGCTTTTATAAGAAATAGATGAAAATCAAAGATGACTAAAATTAAGCCTTCGGAACGCACACTCATCAGACTGTACGCGGAATTACTTCCACTTGACGCCTGTCTTCTGTGTGGTCGTGGTATTGCACCGGGCGACATTGTCATGTTTCTTTACAGATATATGTAAATAGCATCACCGTAAGAACATCGAATAAATGTAAATACATGTAAAAGACATTTTTAAATAAGGATCGGATCCAGGACCTTTAGATTACAAGTACCATTGTGCCATTGGAACAAAGTGTTATAATCTTGTTTCAGTATTTGTACGAGATAGGACATAGAGTATGCGTGACGCAGCCCAGAGTGGCCGCGGCGGTATCTCTAGCGGCCCGAGTTGCCACCGAGAGGGGGGAGGAACCCGGTCACACGGTGGGGTACGCTGCTTCTATGACGTCAGCACGGTCCAACGATACCGGCATTGTGGTAAGAATCAATAGACGAGAAAACATTAAATAACACTAAGAATTGTTACAACTAGGATTTTTGGTAATTACGTCATTGTTCCGTTGTACTAGAGATATGATGTCTGATTGAGATGTATGGAAGAGTGTTGAGATGATGATTTGTTTCAATATGTGTCAAGGAGAACTTTAGAATAAATATGGTTGGATTGGGTCTACGAACAGATGGTGAAAGGTGATGAATGAAACGGATGATAGATCGATGTTGGGGATAAAATCTGTTGAGTTCCTTCATTGTGTGAGATAAAGACAGGAAAATGAGGAGGAGGAGTATTTTCTTATCTTTCCCTGACTATGTTCTATTTTATTTCAGTTCATGACAGAAGGTGTTCTTCTAAGAGAAATGTTCGCGTCACCTCTTCTTATGCAGTATTCTTGCATAGTACTGGATGAGGTAATTCATAGAATTGTTTTTTTTCACCAAACTTATATGAACAAAAGACAATATAATTAGCCTATGTGTTCTTCCAGACTATGTTCTACATCTGTGCCAAATTTCGTCGAGATCGGTTCCGTCGTTCCGTAGATACCTTCTAACAAACATCCATCCATCTAAACCTTTGCATTTATAATATTATTACTAGTGGTCGCCAGTGACTCCTTTCGCGCTGATTAAAAAAAACTTAATTAGTACTCTATGTGTTCCTCCAGACTATATTCTGTATTTATGGTAAATTTCAGCGAGATTTGCATCCGTTGAAGACACCTTATAACATAACATCCATCCATGTAAACTATCTAATCTATAATATTAGTAAGATTTAACAGTGGTAGAGCCCGCTTTAACATCTTCGCACGAATTGGCCCGGCTCGCCCGGTGAAATACCACGACCACACAGAAGACAGGCGTGAAGTGGAAGCAATTCCGCGTTTCGTCTCATGAGTGTGCGTCCCGGAGGCCAAAATTAGCCCTCTTTCCCTTCCCACCCTTTTTCTTATAAGGAAAGGATGGGAAGTGGAAGTGGACTTTCCGAATGAGAGGATGCATGGAAAGGGAAAATATTTTCGTTCTGTGCATCCTCTCCTCCGTCGATTAAAGGTAGGCAACGCATATGAAATTGCGTATGTCTATGGGCAACGGTCACTTCTCTATCAGCGATTTCAGGTGGCCGCTCGCTCGTTTGCCAACTTATGATATAAAAAAAAGATGTAGCTTAATTTTCTTAGTTTTCTTCAGAATTTTACGTATATATATTTTTTATCACTATTTTGGATGTATTGAATTATAACACGAGTTTAAATAATTTTTAATTGGTATAGGAATTAATTAATTGACACAGCGATTTGACACGTATATTAATTGATGACATCATTCATCCTTGACATTTAAATGACAGGACCTGTCAACCATGTATACCCCTCTGTTTAACAAACTAAAGTTCTGAACTTCCAAAATGATATGCACATAAGTGGACATTTCAACCACATCCAAAGCGGAAATGGTTAGAAGTTATTTACTGTACAGCTCTTTGTCTAGTCCGTCTCTTTATAATCAAAGTCCATACTTGGTTGGAGCGTTTGTTAACAGTGGCAAAGTTATAAGTTCAATTTTTCAATTAATAATTATATACTAAATTACTATACTACTATACTATACTATACTACTATATAATTATATATTTAGTATATAGCGTGTCTCAAAATTCAACAATAAAACTGTAATGATCTATAGATCGAGAAACTAAAAAAAATTGTTCAAAAGTTATAAAATTATATATTAACTTTTGTAACTTTCAAATAATTTAAATTAAATTTGTAAATAATATTAAGGAAACATATAGAATATTTTGTTATAATTTATTTTTGTACCAGTGATTTATTTTTGGTTAAATATTTTGAATCAGACGCATCGAAGAGTGAATAACCTTGTAGGTAGAGTATGGTCATCGGTTTAACAGATTAGAGTTCGAATCTCGACTTATGACTATCGTAATGAACCATCCATCACAAGACTATAGCTTAAGATTGAACTAAATTTGGCTTTAAAAAAAAAATATTGTTTTTTAATATTTTTTATACCGCTGCTGTAGATTTAATTAATTCTGCTTTCCACAGGTTCACGAAAGAACTCAGATGACTGATGTTCTTATGGGATTGCTAAAGAAAATCGCTAAAGTAAGCATTTCACGAAACATCATCATCAGCTCACTATACGTCCCTACCGAGGGGCTCGAAGCCTACCCTAAGTTAAGGGTGATTAGGCCATAGTCAACCACGCTGGCCAAGTGCGGGTTGACTTCACACATATCTTTGAATTTCTTCTCAGATATGTGCAGCATCACGATGTTTTCCTTCACCGTAAGAACATAGGATAAATGTACATATGTAAATCGAAAAACACATTGGTACATGGTTGGATTCGGACCAAGGACCTGCATATTACAAGTCAAGTGCTTTAACCACTGGGCCATCGACGCTCTTGCGACAAAACATCTATGCATATTAAGAACATTGAAATGTCTGTTTGTAATATCGAAAAAAATCATATAGATTGATAACGAAAAACAATATTGTCTGTCTGTCCGCAAGCCGCGATTGTTCTCTACGAAACTCCGAAACCAGTAGACCGATTTTAACGGGAGTTTGAAGGGAAGGTAATTGATGTATGCGGGCATATTATAGTCTACTTTATTTTATTTTATACCGACGAAGTCGCGGGTAACCGCTAGTATTTGAATATGACAACTAATCGTCCATTGGTTGATATTTGACTTTAATTCGAAATCAAATATTTTTTACATTTAAATAGCTTTATACACTTTTTAATATTAATTAGAACTGTGTCATAATTCTAGTTCATCTGTTCGCGTGATTTCTTTAAAAAGGGTATTATTGTTTTCAAATATCTTGGCGGCTCAAGGTCATGTTCCGCCCTCCGCATTCCGCTACGCCCCTCTGTGTTCTGCGCAACCACTCGCGCGAAGTTTAGAGCCGCCAAGATATCTGAAAACAGTTATACAAAGTTTTCACATATTGATATAAAGGTTTTACAAATTATTTTAGAAACGTAAGAATCTAAAATTAGTAATATCTTCGGCTACAATGGACGCGGAGTTTCTGAGAGATTTCTTCAATCTGTCAGAGAAAAAGGAGCAAGACAGAAAGAGTACATCGGTTATAATGTCAATGCAAGGACGGACACATCCCATTGACGTATTTTATGTTGACGGTATGTATTTTTATATATATATATATATACATAATAAATATTTTACTAAATTTTACATACAGTTTAAAAATTCATAGCCTAATAATTTCCAAATGTGTAAACGGACCTTTAGTAGTTCACAGAAGACAAAGGTGTATGATTTTTTAATATCATAAGGTAGCAAAGTAGTTAACAGCCTGAATTCGCCGAAATAGCGAAGCGACAGCTGCTTATAGACATACGTAATTGCAGAAGCGTTTTCTACATGCGAGGGGTGAATAGAAGAGTAATTTACTTTTTCATGCATCCTTCATCAAATCCAATTCCCCTTCCTATTTTTTTATAAGAAAATGGGAAGGAAAGAGGAATAAGTTCTTAAAAACGCATACTCAATATTTAATAAGCAATTAAGCATCAGAAATTAAAATAATTGAAATTGAAAAGTGTCCAAGATAAAACATAAAAACTGGATATCTCTGTATTAAAGAAAAAAATGGAAGTCTATGGTTTAAAGTAAAACAACACTGAATGTCTCTACGTTTATAGTTAAAATTAAACTTGATTTCTTTGCTTTAAAGTAAAAAAAAACTCGATGTTTCTGGTTTATTAAATTATTCAAACTTTCGTGAGACATTATACTAAACTGATATATAAACACGGCTAAACACTCACGTATATTCGTCCGGTGGCGGCACCGACTAGTTTAGAGCCCATCGGGGGCCCTTCATCAGGATGAGTGGTACTGGTATTATTTCGCGGACGCGGTCGCGGTCGCGTGGGCGCTATGGGCTCGAAACTAGTCGGTGCCGCCACCGGACGAATATACGTCAGTGTTTAGTCGTGTTTTTATATCAGTTTAGTTTCTGGTTTAATTCAAAAATCTTATAATTTTATGTTGTTTATAGAAGCAGTAGCGGACTACGTGAAAGCTACAATCGACACTGTCATCAAAATACATGAAAATGAACCTTTTGGTGACATCTTGGCATTCCTCACATCACAGGTTCGTTACTTATATAAAGACTAGCTGTCACACGCTACTCCGTCCGCGTGTTTGTCTAAAAAATGAAAAATTTAGGGGTGGACTACCCTTAACATTTAGGGGGATGAAAAATAAATGTTGGCCGATTCTCAGACCTACTCAATATGCTCACAAAATTTCATGAGAATCGGTCAAACCGTTTCGGAGTAGTATGGGAACGGAAATTGTGACACGAGAATTTTATATACATATAAGATGTCTGTATGTTAACAATTCATTGATAAACTATTGAACAAATTCAAATAATAATAATGTTAAGAATGGATTTTAGAGAAAGTTCGTTTGTTAAAAAATAAAACCCGGATGAGCTTTGCTCGGTATTTTTTTTTAAATTGTGTTTTTTGGAAATTATATTTAAATACGAATAACTAATAAAATGAAGAAAATATGAATAATATTTTTCGATCTTACCGATAGAAAAAGTTAAGTTTATGTTTAAGTTGATTATCAATAAAACATGAATAAAATGACATTTTCTAAAAATGATTCCTAGCTAGATCGATTTATCGCCCCCGAAACCTCCTGTATAGTAAATTTTATGAAAATCGTTGGAGCCGATTCCGAGATTCCAATTATATATATACAAGAATTGCTCATTTAAAGATATAAGATAAGATATAGAGATTTTGACCTAAAAGACCCCCATTTGTATGGTACAATTGTGACCCCCCAAGGCATAAATTGAACAGATTTCGATGAAAATTATATCTTACTAATATTATAAATGCGAATGTTTGGATGAATGTTTGTTAGAAAGTATCTACAGAACGTCTGGAACTTACTAAAAGTCATGTAGAACATAGTCTGGAATAACACATAGACTAGTAATTAAGGTTTTTTTAAAACGTCAATAGCCTAATGGTTAATGATACAGATTTCCGATCACAAGGTCGGGGATTCGAATCCCGCCATTCGACTATTGTCGTAAACCATATACTAGCACAAGCTTATAGCTTAGTTGGAATGACACAAGAAATATTAGTAAATTTCCAAATAAAACTGCTAATATTTCATTAAAAAATATGAGTGTTTTTTAGGAAGAAATACTATCAGCTTTAGAAATATTAGAACAGTATTCGGAAGAGAATAACGAAACAAATAAAGAGAGACGTTACTTTGCAAGCGGGATACAGGCAGCTAATCTGACAGTGTTGCCGATGTATGGGACTTTGCCGCATTACAGACAGATCAAAGTGTTTCAAATTGCTGATAGAAATGTTCGCAAAGTTATATTAGCAACGAATATAGCGGAGACCAGTGTTACCATTCCTGGGATTGTTTATGGTGAGTTTTGGGGACCTTACTTAATGTTTGGGGGTCTGAGTAAACTTTGGGGGTCTGTGTTAATTTTGGAGGTCTAAGTAAATTTTTGGCGGGTTTCGATTTTTATGCTAAATTCACTTTACATTTGAGATTTGGGGGTCTAATAACATTTTAGAGGGTTCTCATTTTGTTTATTTTTAGGGGTCATCGTTGTGATCATTTGGGGGTTTGATTTTGAAGATTTTTTTGTAATTTTTTTCTCTTAATCTAGTATTCTAGGCTTTGTTTCTAATTAAATGATAGGTTAAATGGTTAAGTTGTTAAACACTTTATTTATTTTACTAAGTGATCGACTGTGGGTTCCACAAGTTGCCATACTTCGAGCCGGCAGTGGGCGTGCAGTCTGTCTGCATCACTCCCATATCAAAGAACAACGCGATGCAGCGCGCGGGTCGGGCGGGCAGGACTAGTCGCGGGAAATGTTACAGGTGAATTACACTGTCTAGTAGTTCAGTTGGCACGTCAGATACTGGAGTACTTTTGTACCTGATGTGCCAACTCACGCTCAGGATATGTATTTGAAACGATTTTGTATTTTTACCGTTGGTTTCTTAAATCAAAATAACCCTCCTCTCTTTATCTTTGACAAAACAGAGACCATGTTTTAAATTGGTATTTCGGTCTCAAAAACCAACAATTAGTTTTTTAGTAATTGTAACAAAATAGCCACGCACGACTTTCATTTCTGTTACACTTACCAGTGAAAATGGAACCTATATACATTAACCTAAAAGAAGTTTTTTATGCTCCGAGGTGGCTATTCGCTTAGTGGAAAAGGTCTTTATTCTTTTGTGTTTACAGATTGTATACAGAGAGTCAGTACGAGAAGCTATCAACCTGTATACCGCCGGAGATGTGCCGCAGCGATCTATCCGCTATGCTGCTGCAACTCAAAGCATTGGGCATACATAATGTTTTAAGGTAACTGTGCTCTCGAACACAATAAACAAATTTAAAATAACGCCATCTAGTAGGCTTTTGGAAAATTAAAAGTGAAGTAAAAATTTGAGAATGGTTCCATCTAGTGACCATTTGCAAAACCAAAATGACTTCATTTTAAGAAGAATAGCGCCATCTAGTAAGCGTTATGTAAACCATTACCAACTAGTCGCAAATAAAATTGAGTATATCGCCATCTAATGAGCATTTTTAAAACAATATTTAAAAAATTGCTAGTTAAAATGTTCGTTTATTTATCTTCCAGATTCACATTCCCGACGCCGCCTCCAGCAAAGAGTCTGCTGTCAGGTCTGGAGACATTGTACGCGCTCTCAGCTGTCGACAGACACGGAGATCTGACCTCACCAGTGGGAGCTTGTATGGCGGAGTTACCTTTGAATCCGATGTGCGCCAAGATGTTGTGCAATAGTGGTAAGTTTTATATTCATTACAAGAAAAAGCAAAATTAGGGGAAAATTGATAAAACCAATACCTTTCAAACATTAATTGATATCAAATATTTATAAAATCTATACATATCTATAAAATTGAAGAGTTTGTATGTAGTATAAAAAAGTCACATCTCACACAAGTGATGTACTAGAATTACTGTACAGGGATTTAAATAAAAATCCCTTGTTTGCAGAAAAATGTGTTAATATTGTAGAACATGAATAGCAAAAAGATATAGAAAAACTGATTTGACGTTATTAAATTCAAATGTATAATTTTTCTTTTTTCTTTGATTTAATGGCAGCTATAGTGTAAAAACTCCTTGAACAATTACTGATAACAAAAAACAGTTTTTCTTCATTTTCGTTTGTCTGTTGGTCTATATCTGTCTGTCAGACCATGTTTTCCATGACTATGATAATTACCATGATTTAGAAGGTAGGTAATGTTCTAAGAAGCGAAGAAGAATGCGGTAAGAAATAGTATATACAAAAATTTAATTACTTTTTGCAGGTGAATACGGTTGTATAGAAGAAATGCTATCCATAGTGTCCATGTTACAAGTGGACGGTGTGTTCACGTCCCCTGCCACCGGGAAGGGTAATATCAACGCTAAGATATCCAGAAGAAATAACTTTGAGGTATGAATAATAAATCATGCCCTCTTCTCTTCTAAACGCTTTAATTTAATTCTAATACAAGATGGCAAGCAAATTTATTATAGCCCTTTTGCCAAAATGTTATAGGAGAGTTTAGTACTTACGAGTTTAATATTAACCAAAGGTTTAGCAATTTTTCACATTGAGAAAAATTAAATTCTTTAAATTAAAAATTAAATATATAAAAATTTCGCGATATCAAAAGTTGCGGACGACAGCTAGTTGTAAAAAGTTTTATGTGTCTATTCTCTAATTACCCAGAATTTATTAAAAAGCGTGATTATGTTATTCTTTCAGGTGGCAGAAGGCGATATAATTATGTATTTAAATATATTTGACGCATATTTAAAAATAAGGTCAAAAGATACGACGAAATATAAAAAGCCATGCAAAGACTGGTGTCAGAAGATGTATATTAATTATAGAGTTATGGAGAAGGTATGGAATTTACTTTTTTGAATTCTAAATCGTCAAAATTTTAATACTAATTGTATTTTACTGCTTGTATTTAATTTAATATTCCACCACTAGATGGCGCATTTATTAAAACTTTGCTACCTTTTTAATTCCTTTTTTTATGTAATTTTATAATAATTAAAAGTATGAATGTTTGTTTATTTTATAGGCGTATGAAATAAGACAAAGCTTAGAGAAGTTAATAAAGGACAAATTCAAAATGGAGGACAAAACATTTGAAGGACCCGATTTAGGAACTGGTGAGTTCAATTGAATATGAATTTATTTGTAAGTAGCTGTCGCCTGCGACTTCATCAGTGCAGAGTGAATACAAATATAATAGATAATAGTTATAATATTGCAGGTAAATGTGTCCGCGTGATGCGGTGCGTGGTGTCGGGCCTGTTCCCGCAAGCTGCGCGTCTCTCGGCCGCGGGGGAGTACTGCGGCGTGCGCGGCGCTCTCCTCCACATCTCTCCACAGAGCTGTCTCTATCATCACCAGCAGCCTCACTGGTCTCACTCTAAACTTAACTAATCAAAGCTTAACACTCACATATAATACAGTGGCATCGTCCACGCGAAATTAAAAAAAATAGTAACCTTTGTGTTCTTCCAGACTATGTTTTACATCTGTGGCAAATTTCATCTGGTAGACAGTGGTAGATCTAACAGTGGTAGAGCGAGCTTTAACATCTTCGCACGAATTGTCCCGGCTCGCCCGGTGAAATACCACGACCACACAGAAGACAGGCCTCAAGTCTGATGAGTGTGCGTCCCGGAGGCCTAATTTAGTCCTCATTCCCTTCCCACCCTTTTTCTTATAAGGGAAGGATGGGAAGTGGAAGTGGACTTTCCGGATGTGCGGATGCATGGGAAGGGAAAATATTTTCTTTCTGTGCATCCTCTCCTCCATCGATTAAAGGTAGGCAACGCATATGCAATTGCGTATGTCTATGGGCAACGGTCACTTCGCTATTTCAGCGATTTCAGGTGGCCGCTCGCTCGTTTGCCATCTAATGATATAAAAAAAAATATTGTGATCTACATAGGCATATAACATTACATACATCACAAGACCAGCCACAAAGTTTGTGCAACTTTTTGACAATTTTTTGGGCTATCTCGATACCCCCTGGGGTGGTTGGTCCTAAGTTTTTTTTAAACTTTATAAAGTCAATTTAACAATTTTTAATTAAATCTAGTACAATTAATACGATGCACTTATTCATTTTAATATAAATTAAAATTTCTTTAAAAAATAACTTTTTGACATCTGGTGGACGCAAGTGAGCTTGCAATAATTGAGAGGTTATTTCAGGGTGGTGTTCGCGGGCGTGGTGAGCGCGGCGGACAAGACGTACATGAGAGATCTCATGACTATACAAAAAGATTGGTTAATTGAAGTTGCACCACATTACTACAGAGAGACTTGATACCAACAACTTTAGTACAGAAAACAATCCAAATATCAAGATTATTGCGCCAAGAGGTTACACAAGTATCAAGATTGATATAGAAACAGTTTTTACAAGTATCAAGATTGCTTTAAACCAAGTTGACGTAATAATTTGAAACGTCTGAATTGAATCAGAGGTCAAAGTTTTTGCTACAATCAAATAAAGATAATAAAAACTATAAATAAAATGTTGTAATTTTCCTTTAATATATCAATATTATTTATGAAATTTAATAATAATAATATTTTGTAATATTAAACGTGTTTTTTTTTCTTTCTTATGAAAATATTTTGATTATAACGCCATCTGTGAGGTTTACCTTACAACTGAAGAGCTTGTTTACTTTCATGTTACTTATATCTATTATTGATAGATGGCAGCACAGCATCTTAGTTTGAAAAAGAAGCTTGTTTATACTTCTAAACTTTCCTTTGAAATTGTTTTCATAACGAAACTTCAATTCTTTTTGTGCTCTTAGTAAAATAATTATAATTTAAATTAAAAACTATCTTTGGTAAGTTATATTTTAATATTAAGCATAGATAAAGTTGTAAATCAATATATTTTTTTTAAATAGCTATTTAATGCAACTGAAGTAAATCGTCGCTGATAGCTGCAGTTAGTAACAAACAGTAAAAAGTTATGCTTCAGGTAAACAGAGTCGTATTATAAATAAATATGACATTCGCGATTGCAAGATGTAAACAATTTAATTAACTGCAAATAACTCGACCGATAACACATTGATAGTTATAAACGTTAAGAAATAACCACTTATTATATTTCCGTATTTTTAAACCTCGTATAGTAAGAGTTCCAGCACAATGTTACAAAACAGTACTTCTCACTGCCTACCCATTTTACGATCCTAATTATATCTGTAAAAATAAATATATATCTGATTTGTAGCTATCACTAGCTGTCGCCCGCGACTTTGTCCGCGTGGTATTAAATAACTTAATTAGTAGCTTATGTGTTCTTCCAAACTATGCTATAGTTCAGCGAAATCCATACAGCCGTTCTGGAGATACCATTCGCATTTATATTAGTAAGTTTAATATTATATATATATTTCCTAAAAATAAACAAAAAAAAATCAGTATATTTTTTTAGGGTTCCGTACCTCATAGGAACAAAACGGAATCCTTATAGGATCACTTTGTTGTCCGTCCGTCCGTCTGTCAAGACCCTTTTTTATTTACACGACAAAATGGAAAGGTTTTTCTTACTTTAAAGGTATTATGCAATACATAGCAATTTCTAATCCATATTTATATAAATTTATGTATTTATTTATATAGAGAGATTAAATTTGACGTCACCTATATCATTATGTGTCACATGACCTACATATTTATGTGTGAGTTAAAGATTATCTAATTTCTATAGCAGACAGTTTTATTGATTTAATTTATCTAATAAGATGTTTCTAAAGTTTAAAAAATTCATAATCTAAGATTAATTTTTAATTAGCAAATAATTTTACGCACTTCATAGCATTAACTTAAACTGTATTTAACTTTACTAGTATTTTACTTGTATTTTACTAGTTATCACCCGCGACTCCGTACGCGTGGTATTAAGAAAAAAGGTAATTAGTTTTAGAGTAACTAATAATGTTACAATCATTTGGCACGAAATTACGTGCTTTCGTTACAAAGTCTAGAGTCAGAATGAATAGTGAAGGGACATAAACGTTGACATTTTTGTAAGGCTAGTGTTGGGGCAATACACTGACACATTTTAGGATTTTCTTCCTAACATTAGTAGCCTATGTGTTTTTCCAGAATATACTCTATATCAGTCTTTCCCAAAGTGTGCGATAACGCCCCCTTGTGGGCGCTGCAGGTCTCAAGTTGAGGGTTATAGTAAAAGTTTCCTTTAGAATTCTCCGTTAATATACATATATAGGTCACGATAATTAATTTAATTTGAAGTTATAGTGGTTTATAAATATGTGAAAATATGGAGGCGCTAAAAATATTTAGACTCAATGTAGGCAGTAGATAAAATAAGTTTGGGAACCACTGTTCTATATGTATGCCAAATTTCAGCGTGATCCATGCAGGCGTTCTGGAGATACCTTGTAATAAACATCCATCCATACTTCTAAATATTCGTATTTATAATATTAGTAAGTTGACCCTTCTTACGCCCCTCACGATGGTCTATAAAGTATAAAGTCAGACTTTTCACTAAGCAAAGTTACAATGAAATGACTAGTTGACGATCGAATTTGACATTTTAAAAGTTTCAAAGTCTTGAAAACAAAACACGAACTTCAAAAAACAAATTATAAAGATTTTTTTAAAAGGTGTTTTATTCGTAATTAATCTGTAACGATTTTAAGACGAAGTGACTGACATAAAGATGTGGGTCACGAGTTATTAAATAACGTGTGACTTTTATCTTATCTCGTTTTTATTTTTTTTATGTTTCGTTTGCACGAGCTGACAATATCACTAACGGCCGCTAACAGAGTCGCAAAGAGCGTTGACGGAGGCTTTATGTATTATGTACCTATGTATTATTATATAAACGTATATGTAAACGGCTTAACACTGACGTATATTCGTCCGGTGGCGGCACCGACTAGTTTCGAGCCCATCGGAGGCCCTCCTTTAGGGTGACTGGGACCGCTATTGGACTGGCCGCCACCGGACGAATATACGTGAGTGTTTTAGCCGTTTTTATATAACTTTTTTATGTCTTACGAAAGTTTGAATAATTTAATATTATTATATAGCCTAAACTTGGTCTTACCGTGTGTTTTTAAATCCAAAATCCTCGTTTAAAACATATTGTTATCTCGGTTTTGTCAAAGATGAAAACCAAGGTTGACGATATGTTTTATACAAAGATTTTGGTCTCGAAACCCACGTATAAGAATTTTTGATATACATAAGTCAGGAGCGTTTTCTTTTTCAATTTACTATTGCAATATTATTCACATATAATACATACATACAGTTAAATAGTTTTTTTTGTTATGTTGTTAGCGAAGTCTTTGAGATCAAGTTTATATAAAAATGTTTACCTTAGTGTTTTCTGTTTAAGCAATGAGACAGAAGTCCGGTAAATATTTAAATCGAAATGTTCTATTATAAACATCTAGAAATTCCCGAGCTATATAAATAACGATGATATCAGATAGCACAAAATTAATTAGTGTGTAATTAAAGAAAAATTAAAGATTTAACGAGTGTTTAATTGACATTATGAACCGCGTTATCATTTGTTGTTTGCGAAACAAATCTCTTTGTCTCTAGGAAGATGTCGCTTTTCGCATGGATACAGTGTTATTATGTTTCATTATTTGTCTTCAGTGGATAATTTGTAAGGCAGGTCTGGATTGAATCCCATAAATATACATACCGCTATTAGCCTGTAGCTAACCATTAGGTCTAGTACAAACATTTGCAACAATCGCCTTAATATCGTCATCGGCAATTATGTCGAAATTAGTATGAGATTTGGTGTATTTGACGCCCGCTAGAGGCGCTGCGATCTTCGTGCTCGGCCCACAGGTAGCCAGTTCCTTTTTGGAATAATAAATTCATACAGATGAAATTGTTTCATACTTTTTTTAGTTTAGAAAATCTTATACTACTAATATTATAAATGCGAATGTTTAGATGGATGTTTGTTAGAAGGTATCTCCAGAACTGCTGCATGAATCTCTCTGAAATTTAACATAGATGTAGAACATAGTCTGGAAAAACATATAGGCTATTAATTGAGTTTGTTATTAATTCCGCGCGGGCAGAGTCGCGGGCGATAATTAGTAATAGATAATTTATTCGCTAAAGTGTATGTGTGTTACGTATGTGTGTTTGTATGTGTTGATAACGGTAAGTGTAACGAATCGCTAACGAATGATCAAAGGTTGTTTTAACGGAATTATATTCATAGAAGGTTCTACAATTTATTCGTTATATTCGTTAACGGACAATTAATTTTAATTAAAGATAATTAAATACAAATATTGTATTATAAATTACTTATTAGTAATCATTATTAAGTTAGAAACTTTGTATTTATCAGTGTAGAGATGTGCTGTTATTTCTTTTATAACAGAAGGGGGCAAACGAGCAGCGGGAACATCGAAGTGTTCAACGACGCCCATGAACATCAGCAATACCAGAGGAACCGCAGATGCGTTGCCATTTATAATATTAGTAAGATATCAAGACTAGTGATCTTCGATTTTTGTTTATTATTATTGTCGTATTCCTTTATTTATCATATTTTTAACATTAAAAAAAATTATACAAAATATATTATATTAAAAATAAAGCACCACCGGCTACGGAATGCCATGACTCAAACAAACAGTGGTCAGGGCTGCAGAGACAGGAACTTTCTCACTATGCGTGCGGTTTCTAGGATAACTGCCTTTTGTATCGGGCCCTTAATCCAACTGTTTAGCGAGAGCTTCTTGAGATGTTTGTCGAAGCTCCTCGCTATTATTATTATAATTATTAACTGTTTCAAATGTCATGTTCATTTCTCGGAATTTACTTAATAAGATGTTACAATTATTCACTATACAGTCGTAATGATTTCGTTATATCAAAGCCTCTTCCCCTTTGACCTGACCTTGACACAAGATTGGTAGAACAATTAGAATATGACGTAACATCGTACGATCCTCGCATATTTTATTGCGGATGTTACACTAACTTAGTTCAACTTACGTCACTTGCAACATTCAAGATTGCAACATGTTACATTTTACTTATCTTTGAAGTTATTTGATAATCCTCACTGATGTAACATCTAGTTAATCATATTACCTTCGTAATGTCTTTAAAAAAATGGAATAGTAAGAGAGCAATTTCATTATTCGATAACTGCCTGCAGGCTAACATGGAAATGATCGTTCATAATCAATTGAATATCCGTCGTAAATAAAAGTAAGGAATATCGCCTAACGCATACGAGCCGTAACGACTAATGATAATGGTTCTCGCATGCGGGCGCTAAAGCACTTGTAAACAAAGGCTATACAAAGTGCGCCGAAAAGATTCTACAAAGAATTTCAGTCTCGACAATAGTTTAATCTTTTCTACGTGAAACAGAAGAACTTTTACAGCTTAGGTTACTTTGATATGGTGTTATTTTGACTTTTATCCCGCTGGACTTGATTAACTGTCACAAATAAAAAGATTATAATTGTTTTTGTTGGTCATGCATATCAGTGGCGTGTAATTTGGACACATTTTGTTTGTCTTTAGATAATGTTTCTAAATGTTTTCGTCCGTTCTCTCGAGCTCGCCACGTGCAAGGCTGGCCGATAAGATTGTGTAGACCTCGTGGTCTAATGGTCACACTGGGTTTCTACCTCGAGTCGTATCAGTTTTATACCTTTTTATAGTTGCAAGCGGTCACATGATAACGCTTTAAATAACGAACCTTGTAATGAAAAACATGAACATCATAAATGTACAGATGAGATGTAAAGAAAACAAACATTTCACCCTTCTATACGTCCCCTTCCGAACTGAGTTTGACCTCCAGCATACACATTTATCAGACGGAACGCGAAATATCTGTGTGGTTGTGGCACTCAAGTGTGTTCGCTAGTAGATGACCCAAGATCCTACCAAAAACCCCTAAAAATATTTTGTTATACTGACTTTTTGAATCACCCACGTGGGTAAGCATCTTAGTGTTTCGGATTAGTTTTTGTATCTATTTTATATTTCTTAGTTTCTCTGAGAGAAGAGGGCAAGTGGCCCCTAGTGCACTATTTACTCTACCACTGTTATTAACAGTTACTAAGAAACATATTCAATTAACTTAGTAAAATACGGAAAAATGCGAAACCGACGTTCATGTATACGTGTTAGGACCGCGACAATTGCAGGTCTGTGGCCTCTACTTACCCTCTGGGCAAGTTATATTATTGTAAAAGTAAAATATTATGAATATATCGCTAACTCTTGGTTCTCTTTCCAATGCAAGTGCACGCGTGCTTAAAAGTTCATTAACATGATCCAATGATTGCCAACTAGTGTCGCTAAACTTGTAGACAAAAATAAAATATTGTTTACATGATGACTCATCACGTACGTAGACAAAACAAGGCTCGGCTCTCATTGTTCTCTTATCAAATTAAATAAAACAATTTGAACACGAAGAAAGTTTACGTGACCCATATTTGTGTGTGACGGACAATCGTAAGTTGAAAGCTATGTTTCTTTATAGCCTTGAATTTGAATCTTAATATGTTTTTTTTTGCAATGAGAATTATTATTATAATTGTGTTAATTTAATTTTTTAGCCTAGGTCATTCGCTCTTTGTAACTAATTTAGAAAATTGCATAGGAAAGGTTTTTTTTGATTTTCACTAGATGGCGCTTTTCTCAATTAAAATAGCTTTAAAGCGTATTTTGTACATTTATATTTTAAAGAAAAAGCGACTGGAACTGAAAGTAGTTTCAAATTAAAGTTTTTGTCGTAATCTTTAATTTATGTCTCTGTATACCAAATTGGTATATGGAGGTGTGATAGTATATTTTTACGGGGTGTGGTTTTAGATTAGTACGTGTTATCAGCAGACACGCTTATTGGTCGAACAAGAATTAATCGCGCATAAACTTGCCACGTCGTAGACATTGTGAAACGTAACGAACTAACCGGTGAGGGCGCTACTATCGCGGATGGTGCCGACAGAATATATATAAAACCTACTTTGGCATAGCAATATACATAAAGGAAAAAAATTACATGATAAATATAGCACAAAGAACATTTTTTGATATTGCCAGAGGGGCGCTAGTGAGCTGTCATAATTTAGTTTTACTTATGCCCACCGATTACGATAGCATATTCGGTCTATAGTTTTTGATATTCATGGTTTTTCGTTATAAGCAACGCGAATAAAAGCAACGAAATACGAAGAAATTTGAAAAACATATTACATGGTGGGATTAGAGCCCACAACTTGCAGTTAACAAGACAAATGCTAAGCTCCTGAGAAACCAACGCTCTCTATTATATCTATAGATTTATTTATTTTTTTATAACAGAAGGGGGCAAACGAGCAGCGGGAACACCGAGGTGTTCAACGACGCCCATGGACATCAGCAATACCAGAGGAACCACAGATGCGGTGCCGGCCTTTTAGGTGGTGATGAGCTCGCTTCTTAAAGGACCCTAATTCGTAGCGGTATCTGCTATACGGTCTGTGTGTTCACCCTTGTGCGCCAATCAGATTAAATAATTAAATTACTAGATGTAATTTATCTTTTTATAATCCGTAGTGATCGTAATTCCTTGTATATTTTTTATCTGTCTATCTGTCAGACAATATAGTCATTTGGCCTTGATTAAGTCCAGATAATCAAAAACAGCCGGCTACAATGATAACATAATCATTATTAAGTCATCCTACTTGTGATTTTTATCAAATTATTATATAATTAAAAAAAAAACTAGTCATTAATTATAGGCTATGTTACTCTGTGATAAATCATTTAAATTGTAAAAGAATTTTTTAAACAAGTTAAATAGTTCTTGAGTTTATTCCTTACGTACAAAAATATAACCATCCCTCTTAATTAGCAAAGATATTAATAGCAAAAGTTCAAACTTAAATCCGTTTATGGCGAGTTTTAAACTAACCTAACTTCGACCTGTTGGCAAAAGATATACGTCCGATCTCTTTTCTGTCTTACCAGAGGGGTTAGACAAATTGCATTCGCTTCGAAGCGATTTTATAACGAACTTCAAAAATGTATGAGATTGACGTGCGACAATCACGTGACTTATACAAATTCATTGAGTTCTATGCATTTTTGAAGCTTCCAAGCGAATGCTATTTGTCTAACCCCGTACTCTTCCCGGTGATTTCTATTAGTAGAAACTAACAACGGTTACATTGGCTCGTGACTTCACTCGTGTGGAATTATAATAGAAAAAAAAATTCTAGTTATAAATGCAGCCTATTTTATTCAGCTTGGCTTTAAGGCCGGCAACGCATCTGCGGTTCCTCTGTTATTGCTGATGACCATGGGCGTCGTTGAGCACCTCGGTGTTCCCGCTGCTCGTTTGCCCCCTTCTGTTATAAAAAAAAGCTTGATGGCAAAAAATAATGAATTTTATTACATACAAAAATCATTCCTTTTTATAACATTACGATAGTGAGGTGAGTGGTTTTTTTTGGTTGGATTCCCAGTTATCCTGAAAAAGAATCACCGACGGGTCTGACGTGTCGGTGCTGTCAGACTAACGCATTTACGATGAAATTTGCCACAGATGTAAAACATAGTCTGGAAGAACACAAAGGTTACTATTTTTTTTTAATTTCGCGTGGACGATGCCACTGTATTATATGTGAGTGTTAAGCTTTGATTAGTTAAGACTATGAGTACGGTTTCTTTCTTGGAAAATTATTGGCCAAATACAATCACATTGGAGTTTGAACTTTAGACTATTTTTTTTAATTGTAAAGGTTATATAGGTGTTCTAGGTATGATAGTAGTGAAAGTATAACAAAAGTTATTTGTATGTAAATATATATTAGACTAGCTTTTACTTGCGACTTTGTCTACGCGAAATTAAAAACACTTAGTATGTAGCTTATATATTCTTCCAGACTACTCGTATGTAGTAACTAAGATCCATCCGAACTTTCGCATTTATAATATTAGGATGGTTTCCACTGCTATGAAACCTGTTTAAAAATATCGTCGTCCTTTTTCATTTTCTTTTGGAGTAAAGAGATAAAATATCTAACCAACATCCATCCATCCATGTTAACTTTCGCATTTTTAATAAAAATGCGAAAGTTAACATGGATGGATGTTTGTTTGAAGGTAACTGTAACATCCCAACGAATCATTGTGAGATTTGGCACAGATGTAGAGCATAGTCTGGAAGAACACGTAGGATACTTATTAAGTTTTTTTTAAATCGCACGAACGGAGTGTCGGGCGAAAGCTAGTATTTGTATAAAGGTATTATTCTGTTTGAAAAACCTTGATTACCTCGTTTGCAAATCTGTAGGTAAATATGACCTCAGTTGATAAGGGAACCCTAAATTTTATCGAAATCACAACTTCACCACGCGGGCGGACTATCGTTTATACAAAATATGTTGATAATTAATTTATTACATATCCAATGCGTTGCCAGTTACGTCTCGCAGAACGTTCACAAGCGTTGCCACGGACGGACAAAACAATCAAAATATATATTGAAAAAGAAAGTGTTTAGGAAGTGATTTTTGATACAATGGCCGCATCTGTACTTATGTTTTCGGTGAGTGGGCAATAAAAAAACTTTTTTACACATTTTGTTTCGGGTTGCGTTTTCGTGTTATTTATAAAATAATTATTATGTTTGTTAATTTATATAATTCTGATATTTTAAATGGTTTAACACAAAAGTATTTTTTCTTTCTATTAAATTAACTTTCTTATATTTGCTTTGTGTCCTTAATTTTATTTCGCTTCATCGTAAATATATTAAGAATACAAAGTTGTATAATTTCTTGAGTAGTTACTGTATTTTACTAACATTAATACTGGAAATTGTATAATTTAACAGCCAGTTTAAACTGGTTAGATTTAACTGAACAATTACAACTGTACAAAACTTTAGGTTTGTAGGTACAACTTAGAACTAAACCCTTTTAGTTACAGTTTTAATTTCACTAGCCGTGGGTTTCTGAGACCAAAATGTATTTTTAAAACATATCGTCATCCCTGTCATCTTTGACAAAACAGTGACAACGATATAATTTTAACGACTCAGAAACCCAAGGCAGTACACTTAAGATTTAACTGAACAATCTCACTGTCAAATTAAAAGTTTGCTGTTAAAACTAATGGTGTGTAGACAATATTGAAAACTGTACAATTTAATAGTTATTTTACAAATAAACGTAACATTTAAAACTGAAAGTGTGTAGTGGATTTTATAGAAAGGAATTGAGAGGGATGAAAATATGTTTTTATGCAGGTGTCTTAACAGTGGAAACACATTACAGCTAATTCAAACAACACAAATGTACAAAAATTTACTAATATTGTCCTCTTTCCCTTATAAGAAAAGGATGAGAAGTGAAAGTGGACGTTCCGGATGAGAGGATGCATAGAAAGGGAAAAAAAATTCTGTGCATCCTCTCCTCCGTCTATTAAAGGTAGGCAACGGATATGCAGTTGCATATGTACGGGCAACGGTCACTTCGCTGTTCCAGTGATTTCAGGTGGCCGCTCGCTCGTTTGCCACCTTATGATATAAAAAAGGGCAACTACAAGTAATAAAATATCATTTCACATGTTCTTTTGTTTCTTCGCATGATTTGTTTTGTTTACATTTTTTTACTTATCACTGCGGAGTAAAGAACTCTAATTAGAGAAAATAGATAGTTTATCGTTCAAGGAGAGAGTTCGTATGGAATTGTCCAAAATTAACTAAAAAACGACATATATCAAATCTTTTAGCCTATCCTAAGTTAGTGACTAGGCTTAGACAACCACGCTGACTCAGTGCAGCTTGACATCATCTTTGAATTTCTTCTTAGATATGTGCAGCATCACAATGTTTTCCTTTACCGTAAGAACATTGGATAAATGTACATATTAAATTTTAAAATCGTTGTACAGATTGATGCTCCGGGGATTGAACCCGGACCTAAACTCTATTATTAGCTAAATATCGTATATACATAATATCGTATAATCATAATACGAGATAGTAAACGACCAATTGAAAAAAACTTAAATAATAGATACCTAAATGATGGAGCGTCGGTGGCTCAGGGGTTAAATACTTGACTTGCAATCTGCAGATCCTGGGTTCGGATCCCGCCATATTCCAATGTGTTTTTCGTATTACATATGTACATTTATCCGACGTTCTTACGGTGAATGAAAACATCGTGATGCATCCTGCACATATCTGAGAAATGATACAAAGATATGTGTAAAGTCAACCGGCACTTGGCCAGCGTGGTTGACTATGGCCTAATCACTCTTAACTTAGGGTAGGCTCCGAGCTCAAAGGTATAGTGAGCTGATGATGACATCTTAATGTTATTTGACTAAGGCAAATATGCAATAACTGTTTAATACATATTTTTTTAGAACCGAAATATTGATAAATTCTTTCACAGTAATATTGTTAAGGAAAAACTACTTGTTTATTAAAAACCCAAAAAAGCAGACTGACCTATAACACTCGGGGGAAAATACGAATGTAATAAATACCTTCCTAGTTAAAATCAGTTAAGTTGTTTTGGCTACAAGGAGGTGACAATGAAATCGATGTATAAATGTTACCAAATATGTATAGAACCAAGCATTTTTTTTATATCATAAGGTAGCAAACGAGCGAGCGACCACCTGAAATCGCTGATATAGCGAAGTGACCGTTGCCCATAGACATACGCAATTGAATATGCGTCGCATACCTTTAATTGACGGAGGAGAGTGCACAGAAAGAAATTATATTCCCATTCCATGCATCCTCTCATCCGGAAAGTCCACTTCCACTTCCCATCATTTCCTTAGAAGTAAAAAGGTGGGAAGGGAAAGAGGACTAAATTAGGCCTCTGATGAGGGACGCACACTCATCCGACGAAGCGCGGAATTGTTTCCACTTCACGCCTGTCTTCTGTGTGGTCGTGGTATTTCACCGGGCGAGCCAGGAAAATTCGTGCGAAGATGTTAAAGCGGGCTCTATCACTGTCAAATTTGATATCTTGAATGACATACATTTTCATAAATCGTAAATCAAGAAATTTTGTAGATGCATTAGCTGTGTAAATAATGTGTCTCATATAATTTTGAGTATTTCCGTTTGATTTTAAGAATGATTAGCCATCGCCCGAGATTCCGTCCCCGCGGAATTATAAAAACTTAATAAATAGAATATATTCGACATTTATGCCAAAATTCATCGAGATATCTTGTAACTAACGTTCATTAATCATACATTCAAACTATATAAAAATCACGATATAAAAAAATAATCTTAAGTTACGAACAAAATTCCTCGTGTTAGTAGGATAAAAATACGCTGTCGTCAAGGGGCATTTCATAATATTGTGGGCCTGTCAATATATTGTATCATAAACATGTTATGCAACCGATTGTTGGGGTACAAATTGGTGATTAGGCAACAATAGTAAACAAAACACGTCAATATCGACCTAATTTTAATTAATTTTCACAATAACCCGCACTGGGAATAACAACAGTGTCCCACTTTGTGTAGAGTACGTTTTTATCATTATCTATTACTCTATTGTTTTATCTAATTTAAATTGTTTTGATACGATACTGGGGTGACCAAGTTTTACTGTTATTGGGGCATGTCCTACTTTTAGTTGATACACTGTAGCTAGTAAACAATTGCTTATTCACACAGATTATACTTAGTACTTTATTACATAGATTTTTACAAGTAAATTTTACTAATATTATACATGTAAAAGTTTACGAAATACAATGTTTGTTTGTTAGAATCTCTAGAACGGTTCAACGGATCTTGATGAAATTTGGCATAGATGTAGAACACAGTCTGGAACAACATATAGGCTTCTTACTATTATTTTAATAGTTATCAGTTACTTTAAATATTAACTAATGCAATGCATTTTTGAATTCCATAGGATTTTTTTAATTTGTAAATGGTAAATGATTTAGTGTTTTTTAAGAGACAAGAAGTTTATAAGTTAAATAGTACTACTATAATGATGAGAATATTTCTAGTTTTGTTTTAATTTGATGAAATTAATTTTATTTTAATTTTTAAATTAGGTTTATTAACTCGTAATCTATATTGTTAAATGATAGAGTAAGGATTTTTTTACACAAGAATTGTCCTATATTTTATTTAATGTTGGTTACCCTATCCATTGTAGTAATAATTAACGTAACATTTCCGATAGCCTCTCTATCGTAAAATAAAGGCCGATTGGGATTTTATCTCGCATAGTACTCAGATTCCGGTGATTTTTCACCTAATCAAAGACGATAGCCCAAAATTTATGTATGATTAATAGTAAACAACGTCTTTGTAAACATGTTTACGTTGTAATTATTTCTTAGTAATATTAATTGTTGACTGAACCACTGAATGACTGAATGTATTTAATATGTATACAATTTGGAAGGAGACACAATCTGGAATAGTGCATCATAAACATCATCAGCTCACTATACGTCCTCACCGAGGGGCTCGGAGCCTACCCTAAGTTAAGGGTGATTAGGCCATAGTCAACCACGCTGGCCAAGTGCGGGTTGGTTGACTTCACATATATCTTTGACTTACTTCTCAGATATGTGCAGGTTGCATCACGATGTTTTCCTTCACCGTAAGAACGTCGGATAGATGTACATATGTAAATCGGAAATCGAAAAAACACATTGGTACATGGCGGGATTCGAACCCAGGACCTGCAGATTGCAAGTCAAGTGCTTGACCACTGAGCCACCGACGCTCTAGTGTATAGACCGATTAAATTATTTACGATCGAAATAATGGAGTGAGACATGTCTGTCTATTTAGTTATTGTCATAAGATAAGATTTTCCTTATAAGTCCCCAAATAAGGAAAATCTAGATTTAATTTATACTTTTTTTTTCTTTCATTTCATTCTTTCAAGGTAAGGACCTTGGATTTCTAAAATATTGTCATCTTTACATAAGTTTTTAAAAGTGTACACTCACAGTTATGTGATTTTTGGTTTTCATTAGACAAAGTTTCAAAAGGTTTAAGGACTTCAGCATAACGCAGACAGTTTCATCGTGAAACCCACTTGTTATTTTTTTTCCTATATTTATCTTCAGTTTGTAGTACTAGCTGTTACTTGCGAGATTAGAATCCGTTGAACCGTTCTAGAGATACTTTCTTACTCTAATCTCTCTATTTAAACATTTAATATTAGTAAGATATCTTTTATTTATATTTTTAACTATGTTTTTTTTTGTTCACAGAGAAGCTCAACTTTCTGTATCGTTTTACTGCTAAACATATTGTGTGTGTGCATACAAAGTGCGGGTGCCCGACCTCCCTGGCTCTCTCCCGCCAGTGGGGTATTTACTGAGTCTGCGGAGTGTCACACAGACGTAAGTATCTAATTTGAATGGAGAATTGAGGAATATCTGTGATACATCTTACTACACGAGGGGCTAGAAGCTTACCCTAATTTAGGAGTAACTAGGCCATAGTCAAACACGCTGGCCTAGTTGGGTTAGTTGACTTCACACATATCGGTGAATTTCTGGACAGATGTGTGCAGGTTGCATCACGATGTTTTCCATCGCCGTAAGAACGTCGGATAAATGTATATATGTAAATCGAAAAACACATGGGGTAAATGACGGGATTCGAACCCAGCACCTTCAGATTGCAAGTAAAGTGCTTAACCCCTTAGCCACCGACGCTCTTTTATATCATAAGAATAGGAAACGAAACGATATTTCTTTCTTTGTAATTTCAGATGTCGTTGCGCATCGTTAACTTCGCTGTTTTGGCGAATGCATAATAAAATATAATTTAAATCGTCGAATTTTTAGTTATCTGTTTTAAATCGATGATCTCATTACAGGATGAACTACTTGACTTGTGTCAAAGATGCGCGAAATTGACGAAGTCCCGGCTGGCGTACCCAGCGTGCTGCTCCACAGATCTTGAGGCTAGGAAGTGGTGTTCAGACTATGTTTACTTTGGTCGAGGACAATATGATTTCTATACTATTTGAGAGTTGATTTTTAATAGAACATGAGTTTACCCACAAAATACCTGATTGGTTGTAAAGGTAATAGAAGTACAAGTAAAAAATATTAGTGTGGTTTTCCACTATTGCAACACTTGTATGGAATATAAGAATTATTATAATTGTTTACCGCAGTAGAGTTCTACGGTTAGTAATACCAAGATGTTAGTTATGAATAGAGAAATTAAAATTGTGTACTTTAGAGAATTCTTATGATTTTGAAACATTTTTACGAGTAACCGTGGATTTCTGTGTCTAAAATCTGATATGATTTAGATAAACTTATATAAAACACGGTTAAAACACTCACATATATTCGTCCGGTGGCGGCACCGACTAGTTTTGAGCTCATCTGGGGCCTTTAATCAGGGTAAGTGGGCTCACAGTGGTGTTATATCGCGGACCGTCGCTCACTTATGAGTGAGCCCACTCACCCGGTCCCCCGATGGGCTCGAAACTAGTCGGTGCCGCCACCGGACGAATAAACGTGAGTGGTTAGCCGTTTTTATATAACTTTATTGTAATGTCTCAAGAAAGTTTTAAATGCTTTAATGTGAATAAGATACAAATATACAGATTTTTATATTACAATTGTCTGGGATACATATAATTATTTTTTGTATGAAATTCAATGATAAGCGTCAAAGGTTACCATATGTCTGTGTTATGAGTTAATAAAATCATAAATTAAGTACTTTAGATTGTCATGAATTGTAAATATATGAAAATATAATACATATATTTGAGAAATATTAATCAACGTAATAATTTCCGCGATGTAGCAACTGTCTGTATTATCATTTTATTATGTTATAAATATATACGGATAGCGTTATCTTTATAAGATTAAACTGATACGTCGATCAACCTTAAAGTTTCATTAAAATAACATTATTAAAGATTTGTTGTAGATAATTAAATTCTGCGATTTAACTTCTTTATATACACGTATACTATGAATATATGTTATGTTGCTTTGTGGGTAGAAAATAAACAAAGTAATGGCTGTGATATTTTATTATTATTAATTTGATGCGATTACGAAAATATTTTTTTTTTAGATTAATATAAAGAATTAAATGAAAATTATTTAATTGTTGTTTTATTTTGTTTAACACTAACTGTAGCCTGCGACTCCGTCTGCGCGGTATTGAAAAACATAATTAGTAGCCTATGTGTTCTTTCAGACTATGTTATATATGTATGCCAAATTTCATCGAGATCTATGCAGCCGTTCCGGAGATATCTTCAAACAAACATCCATTCATCCATCTAAACATTTATTTATCATTTTTTTAATATAGTACATTTCATATCTAAAAAAGAAATATACAAAACATATTATATTAAAAATAGAACACCACCGGCTGCGGAATCCCACGACTCAAACAACCAGTGGTGAGGGCTGCAGATACAGGAACCTTCTCACGATGCGTGCGGTTTCTAGGATAACTACATTTGTATCGGGAATTTAATCCAACTGTGTAGCGCATTTATAATATTAGCAATATTAGTTATTTTGTCCCTTTAGAGTTAAGTTTTTTTTTCTATTAATTTTTTTTTAATATATTTTATTTCAATAAAACAATATATAAAAATCCATAAATTATTTATTATTTACTATCAGACAATATTATAACAAGTTGCTTTATGTACAAAACTTTTACTAAGTTTAACTTTGTCTAATGTAACTTTGATTCGATCATTGGTCTTAAGTACATTATGTATTATATAACACAATCATATAGAGAGCTTCCATAACAAAAATACTCATAATTCCTAATGATGTTTGAAAAAAAATTGTACGGGTTTTTTGTGTAGTTACGTAAAATGCACAAAATAAGCTGAAAATATCTTTTGTAAGAAAAGATAAAAAATGTAGTTGAAATGTTTTTTCATTTTTTTTTTGTATTTCTAAATATTTAAATAAAACATAGTAGCTACATGATGTGCATTTTTTAATTAATTCATTAAAAAAAAATTAGGAAAAATAATTTTTTTTATTGTAAAACTTATCGGTATATAATACAAATTTAAAAAAAAATCGTGAGACATTATAATAAACTTATATAAAAACGGCTAAACACTCACTAATATTCGTCTGGTGGAGGCAACGACTATGATGAAGGGCCCCCGATGGGCTCGAAACTAGTCGGTGCCGCCACCCGATGAATATACTCGTACGTGAGTGTTTAGCCGTTTTTATATCAGTTTATTTGTTTATTACTTTATTAGATATTTATTTAATGCTGTATTCTGATAAAAATATTCAATTGAACCAATGATCAAATAAAGTTTATGATTTTTACAGTGATTTGAGCACTTTACTAATGTGCATTTTTATTTAATATTAAAATACAAAATGATAATAATTTAAAAGAAATCAAATGCAAACAACATTCAGATTATCAAATTATATTTTAATATTTTCCTCGCGTTATTTATACATTAGTGCGTAATTAATTTTATTTAAAAGTTCTGTTTAGTCGCACAAAACAAATTTAGTAACATTAAACACTAGTGTGGCACTACACTAATAAAAACACGTAAATAAAAAGTATTTTGTAAAGTAAAGTCGTTGTAACGGTCGTGCCACATTAGGTTAAAAATGATCACAATAAAAAAATATTACAAAAAGCGATGTTATAAAAAACACGGTGGATTTAAAATTTAAATGTTAAGTACAAAATAATACACTTAGTAGAAATTCGTTTTTCGTTGCAATCGTAAAAAAAAACAAAAAAAATGTAAAATAAAAAATAAATAAATGCCAATTTACCCTACGGGCCGCATACGACAAAAAATTAAGTTCGTCCAAATTTACGCCAACAAAGAAAATTTTGCACCAACATAGTCCTATATTTGCGCTGACAATGCAAACTTTGCACCAAATTGGCCACATAAAAGCCAACTAGGTAAAGGTTTGCACCAACTTAATCCAACATTTGCGCCATTTTGGCGAAAATTGAACACGACTTAACGCTATTTCTAAATCTATCTCTTTGGATAGTCTTCGACTTTGCTAACGATATACACGGTTGTGATTGGTTTACCGATCGAATTTGGTCTTTATTTTTATGCAAATAGATACATTTTCGATCGGTCATTTGCTAACTCAACAATCTGTTGATTTCCCCGCTTGGACGGACAGACAAAGATCTCAGCGTTCGATATCTCTTTAAAAAGTTTCCATTGATATATGTATACAGAGTTATGTTTCAAAAGATTAAATATTAAAAAAGGGAAGAAAAAATAAAAAAAAAGAAATTTTATGAAGCTCCAAAATACTGCGCATTTTATATACGACAGTTGTATACTTTTTGAAACACAAAACTGTATAACATTTTCCGCCAAATTGACATATAGTCAAGCCAATTACCCTGTTCACGGCATTACCGTGATCTGAGAGAAAATTCCAACTTAGATCTCTTGCTTAGCTCCGTAGTAAAGATATGGAAATAACGACAATAAAATCTAGTCCATGGAATTTGTATGGAAGTTTAAAAAGATCAAGTAAAAGTCAAAATATACAATTAAAGTTTATTGTATACATCAATAGGTAAGAGTATACAACGAAAGAACACTTTTATACTATAATCTTTTATCGTATAATTAGAAATTTCACTGTATTTTGTAATAAGTTTTATTATATTTCATTCTAATGAGTCTTATGTTGATCTTTTTAATAATATCGTCATCAAAACCATACCTTTAATTAATCTGAGATGTGATTCTAATTAGAATTAACATTTTATATAAGAAAACTACGTTTTATTTACAATTGTGGTTATAGTACTATTCTGTACAATAAAACTATTTTATATGTTTGGGGTTTTTCTGTGTATTTAGAAGTCGATAAAGACATTCAGGCTGAGTGCAAGATATGAGTAATATATACCAAATTGTTAAGTTCTCTTTAGGAAATACGATACAAGTTATTATGCTTTCATCAAAAAACTTAATTATATACATTTAGAGACAATTATAAGAAAAAAAGTTGTTCATTATCTCTGTTCTGCTTATTTATGTCACATACTGACTGTCAGATAATATTGATAAATATGTAGGATACCAAATTAATTATTTATTTTATTATATAGTTCAAATTGTGAAGGTAATAATGTATTAAATTATTCAAACTTTCGTGAGACATTATACTAAACTGATATATAAACACGGCTAAACACTCACGTATATACGTCCGGTCGCGGACGCGGCCCTTAGCTAACTACACCAGTGAGTGAGCTGAGGGCCGCGTCCGCGAAATACTACCAGTACCACTCATCCTGAAGAAGGGCCCCCGATGGGCTCGAAACTAGTCGGTGCCGCCACCGGACGAATATACGTGAGTGATTAGCCATGTTTATATATAATATCAGTTTGGTAATAATGTAGTTTCAAATAATAGGATTAATCAACTTTATTTTAATAAAGATAAGTTTTCTTTAATAATTGACTCCAATTGTATAAACAATGTATACAATTGGAGTTAATAGTGTGTATTAAGTAATTTCATAGTATCGTTTTATCGTGAACATTTCAACGTCTATGAAAATTAAATATAACTTATTGCTGTCTCTAAATGTTACAAGTAGAATAAGAGGGATGGCAATATACAAATTTTGATAGTTGTAACCCAGTGCCATTAGTAAAGTAATTTGATCAAAGCATATCATCGTCAGTTTGCTTGTCGTAAACTTCTTGCATCTTCTGTTGTTCTTTAACTTTCTTCATCTGAGCGTAGATTGAGGCTGCCTTGTAGTTGATGGGCCCGTAGTCCTTAAGGTCGACGTCTGCGTACACGAATTGGTCTTCAGGTCTGAATGGCTGGGGAAGAGATATCACAATTAGACAACGAATGACATGATTTTGACAAATGCTTGTAGTTGTTTTGTGAATTGTGTTTTCTTTTTTTTTGTTTGTTTCATTAAGAGTGTCGTGTGAAATATGATAAATAAATGCTATAAAAATATTATGTTTTACGTTATATATTTTTGATATTTTTATATAATTCATAAAGGTATAAAAAATAGGTATATAATTTTTGTAAATATGAAGAAAACAAATCCTTGTGGTAAGTCATATAAGTAAGTATACACGTAAAGTTAATTAATAGTTAATTCTGTCCGATTTAAAAAAAATCCAGTGTAACAGTTGAGAAGTAAGTAAAAACAAAAGCGTAATATAATTTTTTAATAAAGGTGTTAAATGTAAAAGCAATAAACTAAAAATATAATATTCGCTTGAAGCCAATAATTATGATACGAATTAATTTACCTTAGTTTTAATAAATGTACGTGTCACTCTTGGCAAAGCGGCCCTAGAAAACAGAAAGACAAAACTTTCACAACATTGCAAGGTCATGCTTAATTAAAGCACTAACTGCAACTCAGATATATTAATTGGTTAAGTCCATTTGTGACAACTGAAATCAACACTAAAGGATCCATTAAACTTATCTGAGTATGCAGTTATTCTGGAGTTGGCTTTTGGTATTGGATATCGTGCTTTGTGAAAAGCATTTAAGTTTTTTTTTTCATAGATCTAAGATCATGCTTGGTACGCAATAGAATTTACACCTATCCAAATAATAGCATTACTTTAAAGATTTTTATTCCACGCAAATTTTTATAAAACTGATATTAATTGTATTCTAGCACAAAACACAAGATTTTTCAAA